TGCATTTGGGGACTCACCTTCATCTCTTAGTGCTTACAGACACCTCAGAATGTTTCTCCTTCCTCCAGCCCCTAATTAAACTCCATCAGCCCAGCTGACAGTGCCCAAAGGTTGTTACACCTCTTGTATAGCCCGTGTGAAATGTGCCAATCATCTCAGCAAGGGGCTCAGATAAAGCATGAAAATCTCATGTAAAAGAGGAAACTAAAAGCGAACAACATCCACATTTTTAAAGGTTTTTCCCAGTCAGTGAAGGAAGGTGGGACCTGACCACACAAGGAGTTAACACCCCTGGGTCTAATGGATAATGTGAATTTCTCCACTTGCTTTGAGGTCTGACAGTAAGGGCACTCATTTCTCATCTCATTCAGAATGGGACCCTGAGCTGATGTATATGAAAAGCAGAAATGAAAATGTATTTATCTGTGTTGCAGTAAACATGAAAGGAAAGGAAAAAAATTTTAAAAAGATCTGACGAGTTCATGTGGATGCTCTGCATTTAGCTCTTGTTTTAGAGCAACAGTCTGTTATGTTGGCTCCTCTACAGTTTAATGATTTCCTGTTAAGAATTTAAAATTAGAAGCCTCCAACAACTTCCCCATAAACTATTTTCAAGGTTCCTTTAATATCCACATCAAGGAGATATAGTAGGTTCATATGTTATCCATGTCAGTTCACTTCCTTCCCACTTCAAAATAAGCATATTGTAAGGAAATTCAGCAGGTTTTTATTGTTTTCTTAGAACCTCTTTTTCCATTAACTATGCCTAGCTATAGTAATTTAAAATATAAAGCTGTCCACGAAAACAAGCTCACATTTAACCCATGACAAAACAAGAACTGCTTCTCCAATCTGAAAATCCTGAACTGTGCCAGATAATTATCTAAATCTTAATTTCCCATTGATGACTTAGCTCAAATTTTCAACTCCATCCATACTGAACTACTTCTTTGTCACCACATGAATTTTACAAACAGCTTTTTGCTCTTTGAGAAATATCTTACCTTTGAAGAAACCATGCAAAAACATTCTTTCCCTGGCAGCATATTAAATGGATTCCATATTTTTCATCCAGCTTCCTAGCACTTTATTCCTGAAAAAAAAAATAGTATTTATTTATTTACTAAATCATTTGAGACAGGCATTAAAGGCAGAGCACCTGCAGGCCTCCCCTCTCAGCTCCTCACTGGGTCAGTGAGAGGGCTCCCAAACACAAATCACCTCCCAAATCCAGCCACCAGAAAGGCTCCTGATGTGAGCACTTCTGAATTGGTTTCAGTTACAAATGAGTCAGGTGAAGCTGCAGGTGACTTAACCTGACCTGAGGTCACAGCAGTGAGAAAAAAACAGCAGTGGGAGAGAGAATTCTGCTGTTTCCTGCACGGGCTTTAATGAACATACAGCTCCTAATTTGGCTGAAATAGAAATCTATGACTACAACAGAAAAAAAAAAATATTGTCAGTTTGAAGCTCAGTTACAGAAAATTGTGAGATAAAGACAATGCTGCTACTTTTTGCAGTAATTTTCTAACCAAATTCACTTGTTAGTGATCCACCCACATCTGGAAAGGAATCCTGGAATGGTTTGGGTTGGAAGGGACCTTAAAGCTCCACTCATTTTCACCCCTGCCATGGCAGGGGCTGCTCCCAGCCCCTTCCAGCCTGGCCTTGGGCACTGCCAGGGATCCAGGGGCAGCCAGAGCTGCTCTGGGCAGAGGTGCCAGGGCCTCACATTCCTCCCAGAGAGGAATTTCTTCTGAAAATCTAATCTAAATCCACCCTCTGTCAGTGTGAAGGCATTCCTGTGGGAAGAGCCCCCCTCCCTTGGAAGTTGGGTCACCTGAAGCTTCTCTTTTCCAGGTTGAGCAATCCCAACTCTCAGCCTTTCATTGGAACAGCCTCTTCCAGCAGAGGGGAGCTTCAGCAATTCACTGCTGTCCAGAAATAGTAATTCAATACCAATATCTGGTTGGGATTTTGGTTTTTTTTAAGGGTTTTGAGTATTTTAGGGGGGCAGAACATCAACAGGCCCCACTCCCACTCTCCTGAAATCACACAACCATATCTGCAGATGTAAAATCTCTTCCATACGAGCTCCTTCCACACAGGGAGCTCTGACAACCCCAGAGGCTGTTTGATCTCTGAGGGCAGTTTGTTTATTGGTTTTTTTTTGTTTTTTTTTTTTTTACAATAACCACCATTAGATTTTCTTTCTACATTTACCCCTTGTGATCCTTGTCTACATCCCCTTCCCCTGCAGTGACACCCAGATGTCCCACGCTCCAGATTCTGTGCATGTGAGGGGCTCAGACACCCAGCTGCATCTTCAAAAGCTCAGATTGCAGCAGCCAGACCGACTGAAGGCTTTTCCCCAAACAACATCCATCCCCACTCTGCTCTCAGGCATTACAAAAGTCCTTTAAATGTTTCTCCATATTAAAATAAAAAAAAAAAAGACAAAAGGAAAGAGAAAGATACCAACAAAGATAAGAATATCCATCAGAAGTTCTGCCAACGAGCACTGGAAGGATTTTCCAACATCTGCAATGATTAACGAGTGATTGCATTAAAATAATTTATGGATGTGAAAGACACATTATTGAATGGAGTTGTTTTGTTAATGAGCTCCCAATATGGTTTAAGAGGGGAAAAAAGGAATTAAACATTATGACTAAGGAGGAACCAATTATTCAATAAAAGAGCCTATTGTAATTCAATTTTTCTGCCAAATATGTTCTTTTGATACTTACCTACTATCTCAACACAGTGGCTGAGGACTCCACCAACTCTCTGTGGCACCTTTAACAACAAAATAACTGCTCATGATAAAAGAGCACCAAATTGTTCAATATTCAAATATATCAAACCATGCAGTATTAATAAAAAACAAGTTCTTGTATATTTAAATTCTATGCCTATGTAGAGATTAAATTGCTTTTGCCATGAAGATTAGTTTTCAGGCTCCACCAAAATAAATTACAGACTGAATACATAACATGCTCCAGAGCGGCTTTATAGAACATTCTTCCTGCACAGATACATTTATTTCTTTTTCTGAATGGGCACACTCTAGTTTTTTCTACAAAAAATTTCCAGGCAGCAGAAGGTACAGCCAAGCTCATTTTTCAAAATATACTAATTTATCAAGAAGATAAAGTCCATTACCACCGTGTTTGAAAAGTATATTTACCTGTACTGCTTTTTTTTTTTTTTTTAATTCACTAGATGCTTTATTTTAAAGCAAAATAATGAGCATTATAAGTTTAAAAAAAAAAAAAACTTTTGATATATTAGCAATACTTTTTCCTTCATGCACTAAAAAACAGCCCTTTTCTACTTTTAACAGGCCTCCAACCTTCCCAAATCCAGCCTCTGAAAGTAACTGAGCTAAATAGCCTCGACCCCCAGGGGGGCTAATTGCCAACAGGATTCCCCCAACTGTATTCCCTCAGGTGAAATAAATCCTCATCATTTCAGAAAATAAAAGAAAAATCTGAAGTCACTAAAAGGAAAAGCAAGGAGGAAAAAAAAAAAAAAAAAAGGACAAAACAATGTTCCATGGTCTGTTTATGTCACATTCCTTTCTTCCCACCCCATAACATTTCTTTGTGCAAGTAAAGGACAAAGAATAATGTCTTCTCACAAAAATGGGAGGAATAGCAAGAACTTGGGTTTCAAAAATAACTTGCCCAAAGTGAAACAGCAGGAGCTCTGCTTCCTGTAATTTTTAAAATTAAAAAGAACAGTAGCTACATTAGCTAAGAAAACACCAGCAACAGAAATTTCATACAATAGTGAAATTTCTTTCATACTTATGATCATTATGTCCTGTAACAGCAAACTCCAGGTGCCCAAATAGTGCTCACATGAGCTGCCACCACACCTGGAGGTCATGGAAAGCCCAATATTAGCTGGGTGTTAGCACAGGTGAGCTGTAAATTATATTTACGCTCTATGAGAAGTTTGGGCTGGGTGGGGCTCAGGGTGATATTTGATATTTGCTGCTCAGCCCTAAAAGATAAACCCCTGTGGGGCCCTGGTGGTCAATCCCACCTCACTCCCTACGGCTCCTGCAGGGATTCACAGAATCCAGAGGTTTGGAAGGAGCTTCCAGCTGGAAAAGGAATGTGTCCCTGTGGGTTTGGGATGTCTGCAGAGAGGGAGATCCCGCTCCCTCCCTGGGCTTTACCTCCCTCAGGCAAAGTTCTTCCCGGTGTTGGGGTGGAACTCGTGTTTTAGCTCAGGGCCATTGCTGCTCGTCCTGTCGCTGGGCATCACCGGAGCGGCTCTGGCCCCTGCTCCGACAGCTCTGAGGGGTTTATTCCGCGATAACGAGATCCCCTCTCCGTCCTCTCCAGACTAACCAGGCCCAGCTGCCGCAGCCTCGCTTCATCGGGGAGCTGCTCCAGACCGTCCATATAACCCCGCGCCACAGTACTGCCCTGCTCCCCCTAAATATGTTCTCTCGTGCCGCCCTCACAATCCCCCGGCACTGCCGCTGCCACCTGCCCGGGCAGGGCTGTGGGACGGCGGGGAGCCGTGGGGCGTGAGGCGGGCAGGGCTGCGGGAGCGGGCAGGGCTGCGGGAGCCCCGTGAGGCGGAGCGGGCAGGGCTGCGGGAGCCCCGTGAGGCGGAGCGGGCAGAGCCGCGGTGCGTGAGGCGGGCAGGGCTGCGGGGAGTGAGGCAGGCAGAGCTGCGGGAGCCGCGGGGCGTGAGGCGGGCAGAGCTGCGGGAGCTGCGGGGAGTGAGGCGGGCAGAGCTGCGGGAGCTGCGGGGAGTGAGGCGGGCAGAGCTGCGGGAACCGCGGGGTGTGAGGCGGGCAGGGCTGCGGGAGCTCCGTGAAGCGGAGCGGGCAGAGCTGCGGGAGCCGCGGGGCGTGAGGCGGGCGGGTGGCGGGAGCCCCGTGAGGCGGAGCGGGCAGCGCCGCGGTGCGTGAGGCGGGCGGGTGGCGGGAGCCCCGTGAGGCGGAGCGGGCGGGAGGCGACGGGGCGGAGGGAGGGAGGGAGGGAGGGGAAGGCGGCTCCGCACAGCCAAGATGGCGGCGGTGGAGCTGGAGTGGGTGCCCGAGACGCTTTACAACACGGCCATCTCGGCCGTCGTGGACAGCTACGGGCGGGCGCGGCGCCGCGACATCCGCTCGCTGCCCGAGAACATCCAGTTCGACGTGTACTATAAGGTACGGCGGCGGCCCAGCGGGGCCGGGCCCGGCCGGGCCTGCGGGACGTGGAAGGAGAAGCGGCGCGGGCCGGGCCCGGCTGGGGGCGCGGGGCTGAGGGGTCTCGCCGGGGCCGGGCACTGCCCGAAGGACAGCCCGGGGCTCAGCAGGGCCTGTGGGGCCGCCCGAGCGGCGGCTCCGGGCTCCGGCCGTGCTGGGCCTTGTGGCTGCCCCCGGGAGCCGCCCCGAGGCCGCGGTGAGGGGCTGCGAGCCCCGAGGGGGACGCGGAGACGGGGCCCGGCCTGGGGGGTGGCGGGGGGAAGGAGCCTCTCGCTTTTGGGCAGGATGAAGCCAAACTGGCTGTGCTGGAATATGTTTTTTTCCTTTTTCCCTTTTTTTTTTTTTTAATTTTTTTGTAGCAATGAATTGGACACGGTGATGTCAGTGGTTGAGGGAGCAGTTTGCCGTGGTCTAGTATAAATAAGCTGGTAGGGACCAGATGGAAAGAACTGACGGTTGTTTAATGCTGTAGTTTTATTAGCATTAAATTATTTCTTGGTGGAAGGGCTGTTCCTCGTTCAGCTGCCCCTGGAATATACGGATTGGGTGTAAAAGGTGCACTGAGATGGTCCATTAATTTCTTATTGTCCACTAAACAGGCATTTCATTCATGTGGAGGAACAGCTGGAAATGAGCATTCATCAGGGGAGAAACAATGTCTATAAAAAACCCCAAAACCATAAGATGTGGAATAACCCTCCTTTGCCAGCAAATTTCTAAAAATGTAGGACTGATTTAAATGAAGTCACTCTTTCGACTAATATTTATTAACCAGGGGTAATGACCCATCATATACATAGAGAGTAGTAGTATTTACTGGAGACAGGGAAATTGCTTTTCTAGCATTAAAACAGGCATGCACGTTTTCTGTGTCCTGCTTATTTCGTGTCTGCCTTAGGTGCTAAGAAGGATGGAAACTCATTTTTATGACATATGAGCACGCTTACAGATAATGATGTGATTGACACATCAGCTGACGGCTAGAGATATGCAAATCACAACGTGGAAGAATATTTTGGGGGTGACTTTCAGATGTTAATAAGTATGACTGTTGACAAATAAAACTTCTTTGGCATTGCCTGTTCTCATGTTCATTCAGGTGAGAGGATAGTGCTCTGTGGCCTTTAAAAGCAAGAAACAAAACCTTCTTCTGATGATAGAAATGTGCAAAGATGTGTTATTCCTAGCTGTTTAAAAACTTATCTGTAAGTGATCTTAACAGATCACTGACTTTTTATGCTTTTATTATCACTCTTGAGGGGTTGCTTTGAATCAGGTTCACGTGGAGTTGTTCAATGCTGAAGAAGCTCCAGCAGCATGTCTGATTTCTGAGGAGGCTCCCTAGCATGTTTATTCTGCTGGGGTATCTGGATTTGTCATCTTGCTGGGCAGATGATAATGAAGGTGATAAGTGCCTGTCCCTAAAAGAGTGTTTGTGTTGTAGGGGCAGTACAGCTGCTGTTAGTGACAAGGATTGCATGGACTCACGGAGTGGTTTGGGGAGGAAGGGACCTTTCTGCCCATCCCATTCCATCCCTCCCATGGCAGGGACTCCTTCCACCATCCCAGCTGCTCCCAGCCCTGTCCAACCTGACCTTGGACACTTTAGGGATCCAGGGGCAGCCACAGCTGCTCTGGCACCCTGTGCCAGGACCTGCCCACCTTAGACATCTTTTTATGATCTCTAATCTAAGCCTGTTCTCAGTTTGAAGCTTTTCCTGCCATTTCTGTGCTTCACAACAGGAGTTTTTGATCTGTGTGAGGGGCACTGATATTCCTCCTACCAACCCAACGTCCCATAGGTGTTCTCACACAGAATGAACCAAACTGGGCCATGCCTGCAGTGAGTGTTCTGTGGCTGTAAGAGTGGGCTGGGCTTCCATGTCCTCAGTGTCATCTTTTCTGTGCAGGATAACCAAACCTGCATGGGGCCTGCAGTGACCTGGTCTAGAGAATGGCATCCCTTGGAACTCCTTCAGTGTCCCTTCCCTCCCAAACCCTCCTGTGAGTCTCTGTGCACCTACAGAACACTTGCTGACTGGTTATTGAGTCCCTGTTTGGACACAACAGCATCAAAAGTGTCATTTGGGGTAGCTGAATGAGGTCAGGCTGGGGACAGCATCCCTCTCACAGCATGTGTGGTGCTTGTTTTGCTGTTCTGGCTCATTTTGAGTATCAGGTGGATATGAAATCCCAGTTCATCATGGTGAATTATATTTCCATATGCCCTGACCACTGAGTTCTTTAAAGCAGAAGTGGAATTTCCAAAGCTATTAACAGTCTTTGGAATAAGACAGACTAGAAGATTTCTAAATATTTGTTTGACTACGTGGTGTTTGTTGCTGCTGTGTTGGAGGGTGTCAATTGTTTGTTGGTATCCTGTCTTACTTTCATTCTGTGATGAGTAAAAGGAATAAAAAAATGTTTCCAATATTTCATATAACTTGTAAGTAGTAGTTTTTTATCGAGGTATTAGTCATGGTTTGTGATGCTTGAGAAACTGCCACTGATTTTTGCAAAAAAAAAAAATAAAGGTGGTACCAGTCAGATTTTGTTTAGATCTGTGGATGTTAATTTTCTGCGGCTATACAAGAATGTTTTCATCACATTCATTGGTATTAATGCTTAGCATTTGCCAGGCTTGCCCGGGTTTACAAACATGTCTAGGCTGATTCAGAAGCTGAAGGTGAGATACCCCAGCAGAGACAGTCAATGTGCTGCTATTTAAAAGGGAAAAAAATACCAGCAGTGTCTTGGTGTTGCTCCCCAGAGCACCCTCTAATCCAGGGTTTGGCTCTATTATCATAACTTACTGCCTCTATTTCCCACTCCTTAACAAATCCAGTTGCTTTTACCTCTGCATCTTCTAGAATTGATAACTTCTGGGCCAAGCCTTGTAAAACTGAGCAGGGACTGAGTCTGGGATATTCTTGCAGGATGTTCTTGTGGCTGTGGTAAGGAGTGGGTTCTGCTGCAAGGTGCAGGAACAGGCAGGTTCCTCATACTGAGCATATTTATCTTTCTGGAGCATTCTCAAACAGTGACTAAAGCTCAAAACTAGGCACTATCAAATAATCCTGATTGTGGTAAAACAACAAACCTGCTCTGCTTCAGCAGGGTATCGCTGCATATCTCTTTTTTCAAGCCCTGTTTGACTTTTCCTTGCAGCCATTAGAAAATTAAGAGGTAGAGCAGGATGCTTGGGAGGATATCCTGGAAATTTCCAAGCCTAAATGAGCTACAAAATATTTAAAAGTCATATTAATGACAGCTTTATTTGGAAGAGCTTAATAACTAGTTTTGTTACAAGTAGCACCTGCCTCTGGGGGGGGGAAAATAAAAATGTGCACACGTATCATACATACTTTGTTTCCTTTGGTTGTTTGCCAGGTTTGTGTACATCCTGGTTGGGTTTTTTCCTAGTTAAACTAGTTAGATTCTCTTGTTTATTTTTTTGGGGGGAGGGAGGATGAGAGAGAGGGTGTGTAGGTTTTAGAAGCCAAAGACAGAAATGTGCTGGATTTCATAAAACTCGGCATATAAGCAAAATCGCAAAATTGTGTATTAAAAAGTAGTGACAGCTGGAATAAACTGCAAGTCTGAAAAAACCCCAACAAATCCAAAACAAAAGAACCCAACCAACCAAAAATACCCCCCCACAATCTCTGAAAAAATCAGCTTATTATGTTCTGCAGTTTGTTGGGGTGAGGATAATGTTTTGAGGGAGGGTGTTGCTGTAAAGAGTCAAGGTTGTTGGCTGAAGTCAGGTTTGAGCTCTCTAGTCAGTGTCTTGTACAGATTTCATTTTCCCCCTTGTGCCTCTGCTTTAGACTCTATTTTGCATAATTATCTCATGACTTTGGTTCTCAGGGTGCTTTGATGTTGTCTGTCCCAGGTATTTGTTGCAGTTGCACGGTGCCAGCCTCATCTTGGACTTGGACTGGTTAACAAGGACTTTCATCCCATGCTCATCTTCCTTCTGGAATGTCTTTTCTGGGTTGTGTGTTTCTCTTTTCTTCCAATTGATTTTTCTTGAAAATAATTTGTTCTTGGAACATTTTCTGGTGAGATCATTTACCACAGGAGCAGTTGGAGATGACATTAATTTGGTTTCTGTCACGTTTAGGTATTTTTTGACCCCAAGAAAATGAACAAGCAGGAATTTGCTGACTGTTGACAAGCAGCAGAACGTCCGTTCTCTGCATTGCAGCAGAGGTTGAGTTTACTGATGGAGAATCATTATCAGCATCATTTCTGTCCATTAGAATATAACAAGCTTGTCCCAAGCTTGTCTCCAGGGGGCTTGATGAGAGTGAGAAGGAGGAACTCCCCCTGAAACCAAGTGTGGCTGTGCTGCTGCTTCAGTTCTGAGCTTCCCTGCCCGGGGAGGTACAGCCAAGGTCACAGCACAGAGTGTGAGGGAGGCAGAGCACCCCAGAGCTTTCTGAGGGGCTTCTGCTGTGACCCCCAGGGTGAGCTGACAGAGACTGAGCTCCCCTGGCTCTGCTCTGGGTTTGGGGTTGGGAATTAAACGTGTGTGTGGGAAGCAGTGATGATTTCACACATGTGTACAGCCTCTCTGTCACCTGGCAGGAGCAGAGTGTGCAGCAGGGCTTCAGTCAGATCTTTCTAGCACCTCTTCAGGTTAAAGCCTCAGAGTGAAGGAGAATCATTACCTCATGAGTTTTTGCCAGTAATTATTATTAACACATGCCTTATTTCTATGGTCTAAATTTAGATGTGAACTGAACTGGCTTTGCTTGTTAAGTCTTTACTGGTTTGAAACTTCTTGTCTTCTAACTTGGTTTTTTTTTAACCTCTAACTATAGGGGACGTTTCCTCATCCTGATATCTTCCAGCTTCCCTACCTTTTCAGTAACCTTATTGAGTCTGAGACACCAGAACTCATCATAATTGCAATAATGAGGTCACATCATGAACAGAGGTGTTGAGCTCCTGCTGAACAATAATTCCTGTTTCCACTTCATTTCCTCTGGGCTGATTGAGCTCCAGGCAGGCTGGGTTTTCTCAGTTCCTGAGGAGAATCTCATGTGTGTGAGGCTCAGACTTTGTCTCCCTTGTGGAACACAAACTCTGCTGCTCTGGCTCGGAGAGCAGAGCAGTGGCAATGTTTAGGGTGTTGCAAGCATTGGGCTCTAGAAGTTGTCTCTGAATTCATGCTAGTTCAATAACATTGATTTTTTTTTTTTTTTTCTTGGTTATTTATTTGATTGAGGTTTGTACAGATCAGCCTGGTAGCTGACATTGTGCTTTCCAAGGACAGATGGGATTTTCTTTTTTCTCCTGCCTTGAGCAATATCCAGTAGAAGCAGTGCTTGTCCAGAGGGTTTGTAGATGATTTTGAAATTCATTTAAAAGCATGGAATGTACCTAAATTTCAAACTCATTATTTTTGGTAATGAGTGAACTGTTGACTCAGGAAAGCTTTTTTCTTCCTTGTTGAGTGGGGAAGGAAGATGATGGTTTCAGCCCATTTTTTTTTCCCAAATACTGCTGTGTGTTAAGTACACTGTCCTTCCCCAGTCTGGCCTGATACTCCATATTGCATTATTAGGCATTACAAAACATCCTGGGGAGCTTCTTGGATTTCCTCTGTATTTCTTACTGAAATATCCATGTTTTTCAATTCTCTTCCAAACTGGAGCAACAGGAGCATATTTTTCAAATTGCGTCTTCTTCAGTTCCTTTTCTAGAGGATCCTTGTACAGCTGGCTGGAATTAACCCCCATCTGCTTTAAAAAAATTATTTAAAAATATTACGTTTAGAAGAAGGTTGGTTGTTTGGTTTTTTTAGCTTAATCTACCCAGAGAAAGACAAGCACTTTAATAGAATTATGATATAATAATAAAGTTAATGTCATTGATATGTTTAATTGGAGACACCACAATGTGCAGCTTTTGTAACACCCACCTGGATGTGCAGCTCAACATTCAGACTTAGATCCTAAGAAGGGTTGTGGTGAGTTTCTCACAGCTGTGCAGAACAGCTGGATTAGGCATGGGTGTAATAATCCACTTGTATATTGAATTTATACCTGTCCTCAGAGCCAGAACTCATGTGTGAGCAGATGGAGTTGGGAGTCATCTTGCAGGCTTTGAGTCTTTTTCCATAGTTAAAGAAAAATAAATCCCTGGTAGGTTCCAGATAGATTAGGCTGGTGTCTAAAACATTTCTCTCTTCAGAACAGTTCTTTAGGAGTCCAAAGCTCTGTGTTCATGTCAGGGCATGTTTTTCTTGAATCACAGTTTTGTTTTGTTTTCGTGTTATGTAGCAAGGCTGTGGTCAGGAATTCTGTCTCTCTGGAGCTTTAACAAGAGAATCATTTCTTCAGTCCTCCCAACTGCTTCTCAATGAGTGTTACTGGATCTCCTGGAATTGCTTCACAGTTTGACGTATGCTCACTATTTCCATGTCAAATTTAGTTTGAAAGTGTTGCTGTAACAGCCACAACAGTTCCAAGAGGCTTCCAGCTGAGTTAATTCCTCTAAATGTTTGCCAGTATGTTGAAGGAAGGGGTTACAGGGATAGTAAAAGTCCCAAAGATGATGTATTTCAAGTTAGAGCAGTGAAAAATTGCAGCTTGGACTTTGGGGCCCGAGCCAAACTTGACATGTGCCCAAAATTATTGCTGTTCCAAAACTGAGGGTCCTGTGGGACCTTCCCCCTCCCTCCTACCCCACCAGGCCATTTACTCCTTGGCAGTCTCAGGATCTCTTGTAAGAGGGGATTCTCTCCTTACAAGAAGTGTTTATGTAACCTCATAAATGCATAAATTTTTAAAAGTCTTCCTATGGTTAATTTTTGATAACCCAGGAATCTCTGGTATTTTGGGTTGGTGCTGCAAGGTGATAGGAGGGAGTGATGATACTGTACTCACTGTGAAATGTGACAGTGTTTTTGGTTGCTTTAAATCCTGCTGCAGTGCTTTGGGGATGTGTCTAATCTTCCTCCAGAAACGATCTCCTCAATTATTGATGGGATGCCCACCTTCACTTTGGCCATGGCATACCAGGCAGTTTAAACAGCTGTTTTTTTTACTGCAGAAAGTACATTTTAGGTTTTATAGAGCATTTGCTATGAGCCAGCTGTGCTGAAGGAATGAGAACATTTAACCATGACTGTAGCTTTTAAATACAGCAGACTGGCTGTTCCTTCGGTGCCAGAGAGAATCCAGCTCCAGCAGGAGCTCTGATCCCTTTGAAGTGCAGGGACACGCTGCTTTATCGGAGCAGTAACTTTGCATGCAAACTTGCTCTGGTTTTTAAAAGACTTCCTTTTATTTTTTTCTTTATGTTCCCTCAGCAAAATAGATAACAAAGAGGAAAGCATTCATTTCTGGCAATTGACATTATTAGGTCAAAGTAGTTTTGAAGTTTTTTTTGTAGGTTGTGGTGTTAGAATAACAAATTTGCTGTGCTCTAGAGCCAGTGTTGTGTGCTTTTATAAGAAGAGTTGACTAGAACTAAATTTCTGGCTGGAGATGCGCTCACGTGCTGTGTTTGGAATATTAATTCATCAGCTCCCAGTGTTTGTGGAGAAAAAGGTGAACCAGGCACCAGATGCTTATCACTGGAAGCATTTGAAAGCATTATTAAAACTGGGAGGAATATTAGTGTTTTCATTTAAGCACTGATGGTGCCTGTGGCAGGTGTGGAGTGCTGCTTCCTTAGGTCAGGTGCCCTCCTGTGCTCATCTGTGGGTCAGGGCCTTGAAGATAATGGCAATTAATAGTTCACAATGGATTTCTCTGACACATTTATTTGCACAGTCCCTTTGTACCTGTGTAAATCCATGGCATTTATAGCCTGATGTTCAGAACTTAACCATGCGCTGCATGGACAACTATCTGTGGTTTGTTGTGAGCAACTCAGCTGATAAATTTGCTTATCTGCAGGTACAAATCACTGTGGGCTTAAAACAAGGCAGTGCTTTTAATAAATGCATGAGCAGGCTCCAGTTTTCCCATTTGCTGCTGGGGGAGTCACTGTGGAAGCTCAGGTGTCAGTGGGGACAGGGCTGGTCCTGCCTGTAGTGCTGGTATTGGTGAGTGACCCCTTGCAGAACTTGTGGCTTTGAGATTATTTTTATCTCATATATTTGCATGCTGCATCCTAGCTGGCGTACCATTTAAACATGTTCTGAAAGCATTCAGTATCAAAACTGTCAGTTGTAGTTTTTGCTGACTTCAGTAATTTCTTGCCTTTTTATTGGTTTTGTAGCTCACATGTGACAGTGTTTTGGTGTTGCAGAAGGGTACAAACACCTGGAAATACATCTATAGATTTAAAAAAAAAAACAAAACTTGAAACCGTCTGTGGACCTTTTATAGTTCAGTTTTTAATGCTGAAATTGTGCTCCTGAGGTGAAATCTTCTGATACAGGAACTTACTTTTTAGCCTGCTGATCTCAATGCTTTAAAGTCTAGATTTCATCACAAGTTATCTCTGCTAGTAAGCTGAATTTCCCAGAAAAACTCAATCCTTCGTATTAAGATAAATATACCTGTTTATTTTTCAGCTTTACCAACAGGGCCGCTTGTGCCAGCTGGGTAGTGAATTTTGTGAGCTAGAAGTTTTTGCAAAGGTGCTACGAGCTTTAGATAAAAGGTGAGTATCTTAATAGATCAATAATTCTCATTTCAACTCTTGATCTCTCCATCTAGGAAGAGATGTTAAAAAGAGGCACAAACAAGAAAAAACAAACGATGCAAACCCCCCTGGGAGCAGCAGTCACAGCACCCATTTCCTGCTGATGTAGCAAATCCTGAGGGAAGCTGATAGGCTTGCCCCAGTTTCAAGAGTTTTCCTGTCATTAAATATTCCAATTTGTGGTGTTCCAGAACTTGACTGTTTTAGATCAGGTTCCCTGTAACCTGGATGAGCTTTGAGTCTTCAGGCAGCAGTTAATGGAGCCATCACTGCTCGATTGTCTGCGGGTGCTGGGGAGAGAGGAGAGAGGAGTTTGGGGCTTCCTCCCTGCTGACTTTGAGCTGGAAATGCTCTCTCCCAGTTTTAATCCTGTGTGGGCAGCTTGTGTTTGGCTTCCAGCAGAGCGTGTCCCTGTAGAGAACTTGGTGTGGATCCCCCAACACCTGGGTGATATCTGCAGCCTCACAGGAGGGCTTGCACTCATCTGCTGCGGGTTTGAGGGAGGCTTGGGCTTGATTTCTCTCCTTGGAATTCATGACTGCTTTCAAACCTTCATGTGTAACCAAACTGTGCTTTGTTGCAGACATCTGCTCCATCACTGTTTCCAGGCTCTGATGGACCATGGAGTCAAGGTTGCTTCTGTCCTGGCCTATTCCTTCAGCCGACGGTGCTCCTACATTGCAGAGTCAGATGCTGCTGTGAAAGAAAAAGCAATCCAGATTGGCTTTGTTTTAGGTAACTGCTGCTCATGGGCTCTTTGCTTTCCCTCTTGCAAACTTCAGTTAATCTAAATTTTTTTTTTTCCTGTTAAAGATAGACCTTTTAAAGAACTGTGTGTTTTGGAATGGAATTTTTAGAAAGCTACTTGGTGTCTTGAGATAAATATATTGGATTTTAGTATCTAAGAATGTATAGACTTTTTAGTTCAAACAGTTCAGATTTAAAATAGTTTTGCAGATGTGATGACGAATTTGCATGATTTTAGTGTAGGTAAGTTCTGGGTTTTTTTGACAGAAATATGTAGGAAAACTCTGTAATAACAAAAAGCCATCCTAAACCAAAGTATTATTTCCTTCAGTTGTAGGAGAATTCTTCTCTTACATTTCATCCTTTCCAGGTCAGGAGGGTTTGACCTTGACAGGATTTCTGTCTGTAGAAGCAGGTCTGTGAAATAAGTGATCCTCTTGCAAGACCTGAGCAAACCCTTTTTCTCTTGAAAATGTTTTGCTCTTCAAATTGCTGTTTGTTGCTGATTTTTGCAGGGGGTTTCCTGTCAGATGCAGGCTGGTACAGTGATGCTGAGAAGGTTTTCCTTTCCTGCCTTCAGCTGTGCACCCTCCACGATGAAATCCTGCACTGGTTCCGTGCCGTGGAGTGTTGTGTGAGGTGAGCTCACCTTGAATTCCCAGGAAACCGTGGAGCCATCCAGCTCCAGATGCTCCTTCAGTGTTCTGCTGCACCAAAACCCTTTCCTGGCTAGAGCTGAAGATCAGGAGGTGCTTGTTTTACACTAATCCCTGGATTTTCAGCATCTAAGTTGGCAGCACAGTACAATGGATTAAAAACCCCAGTGTTTTGCTGTCCTGTGTAATCCCTCATGGGTAACACTGCTGGATAATAAAAGGGGTCCAGCAGTTCTTGTTTCCCAAGGATTTGTGCACATGAAGGCATGTTCTGTGTTGGACTTTGCTGAAGTTCTATTTACTACAAAGAGAATTTGCCAAATCCAAATGCAAACAATGGAGATACAACTGAGCAGAAAAAAAAGGCAAAACTTACCTTCCTGATTCCTGATCCACTGAGTTCTCTTGCTCCATGTTGAATGCTTTGCTCTGGGCCTAGCTAAAGATCTGGCTGTCCAATTCCTGTGGGCACCTCTGGCCACAGCTGAAAACATTTGGAAAAGGTTTTTTTTTTTTTTGTTTGTTTTGTTTTTGGGGGGAGGTTTTTTGGTTTTGTTTTGTTTTTTCTGTTAGAGTTTTGAAGCTGTCTTGTTCCTCAGGGCCTGCAGAGGTTCACATTTCACTGACAGAGGCCTCTGTTGCTCTCCCCTATGTATTGAGGTGTGATGGACTGCAGGCAGGAGCTGGCTGGGTTTTGCTGCTCTCACCATGATGAGGCTGTTCTTACACACTCTTGATGTGCCTGTGGGCACCTGAAAGCTGCTGAGCAGATTTAAAGTAGCATTTTTTTTGTTTTTTGTTTAGCTGCTCTAACAAAGAACAAAGCATGTGCTGTATTTATCTGAATCTAGAGCAAAACTTGTTTGTAAAGCTACTCCAAAAAAAGCCCTGCATCTTGTTTATGGTTGGGCAAACACGAAGAGTCAAGAGGCTTTGCCAAGAGCTGCTGCTGTCCTGTGCCAGCCTCAGGGCCATGGCAACACTGCTCTGCCTGCTTCTGCTGGCTGGCATTCCAGAAACGATGCCAGGGGCCTGGGCACACGTATCCAGCTTCCTAGAGCTGGGGAGTGATGGATACAGAGGATACTGCTTGATCCTTTGCCTTCTAATTAATCTAAAAAAAGTTTTCTCGTTGCATCAGTCTCTTTGGCAAGCTGTAGAAGTTGCTTAAAAATAACTGTCACCTTCTCCAAATAGAAATGAAAAGAAGGGAAAGAAAGGGAGCAGAAAAAAGGGAACTATCTCTGCTGACAATAATGTGGAAAGGAGATTTTCATTCTGTGCTGGAAGAAAGCACCCTGTCTTAGAACGAGCCCTTCTGACTTGGGGTGTTGGCTCTGTTTGGTAGAGACATCCCTTACATCCCTTGTTCCCTGGGGAGCTCTGCTGGGACATCGCCCCTCTGGGCAGCAGGAAATGTTCTGGCATCTCCCAAACACTCCCAAACCTTGGTTTGGAGTTAAATCAACCTGAAAGAATGTCAAACCCTTGGAAGAAGTGTTTAGCCCTTAGAGAAGGGCTAAATCTGTAAAATCTAAACGCCTTTGTGTGGCAGAGAGCAGTCATTAGACTGAGTTTACTGCCTTTCAGCTTGAGAGTAAATTGTGTTGTTACCACCTGATCCCACTGCAGGAGGCTCTCACACTGAGCTTGCACTGGAGCTGGGGGCAGTTTAAGGAAACAAAATTTAAGTCCAGCTTTTAAAAGTCTGACACTTTATTTGGCAAGTCAAACCTCAGGGAGATGAATTAATACATTGCAGTATTAATAGAACAGAGTTTTAAAACATGTGAAGTGTTGTGTTATTTAGGCACAACTTGGTATTTCCTTGTTGTGGCAGGAGTAAAATCTGTGGAGAGCTGGGAAGGTGTGAGGTTTCTCTGAGCTTGTATCCTGCTTTCCTGGGAGTGTGGTGCTCCTTTTGGTTTGCCTTCTCTCATTATTCTGTGTTAAACAATGGGGTACTCATGCATAACACAAATATGTGGTTCTCCCACTTCATTGTTGCACATTTGGCTGATTCTTGGGTTGTTTTCTTCTGATGGTTTTAGACTTCCTAAGCTGCTGTGTTGGCTCTGAGAGACTGAGTTTGCTGGGGGAGGTTAGTCCCCAAAAGCTGTTATTGCAGACATCAAAGGAGGTTCAGAGCCATTAGCATAAACGTCCTGAGGCCTTTTCTCTTCCTCTTGGCTTTATCTCCCAAGATTCCTTTGGATTAATAAAGGACTTTTTGTTACTCGATCACATAAACTCTGCTTATCCTAGAGGATTGGCTTGGGTTTAGCTTGGGTTTTGGGGAGATTTCCTTGTTTCTAGACACTATCACTGAAGCATCCAGACACTGGATATGATCTTTCCCAGAAGCTTATCTAAATTGCACTGCTATCCCCACTGGCTTATTCCGTTACATGGGATTTGGGCTCCGTGGTTTTGATGTTGCAGAGCAGTTCCCAAATGAATGGTGTTGGCAAAATGTTTTTTTCTCTTTAGGAAAACTGTTTACTTAATTCTTCTCTCGTTTCTTTCTAATTCCTGTCTCTTGCTGCTGGAATGTTCCTGTGACCAGGCACACAATGCACTTTACATCGTGTTTGGTTCTGGGTCTTTATTTAAGGAAGAATGTGGGTGTTGCTTTTTGCTGTCTGTTGTTGAGCCACGGTGCTGTTTCCCACTGGAGAGCTGGAATTCGTGTAGTGTTTGCAGGTTTTGAAGGGCTTTTCTTTTGATGTTCTCCTTGTGCAGGCAAATCCACGTCTGTCATGTGCCCGCCTTCAGGCCCTGCTTAGGAAAATGGAAACTTTATTTCCTTTCCTGTTACTGTTGGAGTTTGGTGATTACTTTGGGTGGGAAAGAGAGGGACTGTGTTGGACAGGCTGTTCTTGGGATGATCTGAGTGTATCACTGGGGGAATGGCTGCAGTAGCTTAAATCTCTATTTGGAGCAAGTGGAAACAGGTTTAGAAAAGAAATTGAGCAAAAATTTCACTGTTCGCTCTTTCCCCTTTAACAGTTTTATCCCAATGTATGTAAAATGCTGTTCCTGTACATTAATCCACATAGTCAGAGCCTCTTTGCAGTGCAGCTTCCCTTCCCTCTGTGCAGTTCTCCCTGTGCTGTGTTGCCCTGATTTCCAAAGCCTTGCCTGGTGTGTTCAGTCTCTGTTACTCACTGTCTAATGACACATTTCCAGCAGGGACAGGGGAGGTTAATTCACCAAAATTCCACGTCTGCTCACTGGCAGGTGTGTGCCATGGAGCAGCAGCAGCTGCCCTGGCTGGGAATCCAGCTCTGCCCTTGGGGCCTGGAATATCAACACACACCCATTCCAAATGCACCTCGTTAAAGCCAGTGAGCATCAGCCTGCACTAATGCACTGATTCCTTGTTTTTATTGAGAATAAGTGCCACAAGCTGGAACTGTTACTTCTCTGAGAAACAGGAGTAGGTTTCACCAGTGCTGGGTGTTACTGGCTGTATTTGAGTGTTGATCTTTCAGATGGGAAGGCAGCAGGATAGGAGAGGGTAGAGCAGGGGATGTCTTGAGTTGTGGTCAATAAAATGGTCTCTCCTGGTGGAGCTGGTTTTCATGTGACTAAATCTTATGTGAAGACCTCCCCCAAGCCCCAAAACACAAAAATTCCCACTTGGAGCCACTCAAGGTTTGGGGGGAAGTGCAGGGATGCAGGAAAATGAGCTGTGTTGTACTTACTGTGGCTGCTTGAGGCACCACCCTTTGGGAAGGAGGTGGAAGGGATTTCAGACTGTATAGGGCAGTGCTTTGGGACTGGACTCTCATTGGTATTGGGAAGAATGGATATTATGGCAAATAACACACAAAGGCACCACAGCGGAGTGTGGAGCGGTTCAGTGCAAAACTGTATCAATAGGTAAAATCCTGTGGCATCTCCAGCAGGAAAACTCCTGCCCTGTGCCCAGCTGTGTGTGACTGAGCCCGGGCAGGGCTGGCAGAGCTCCACCCCTGTGAGTGTCCCCCGGGGAGGCAGAGCTTTCTCCAGCTCCCTCAGCAGCTCTCTCTGCATCCCCCAAGGTTGCTGCACGTTCGGAACGGGAACTGCAAGTACCACCTGGGAGAGGAGACGTTCAAGCTGGCGCAGTCCTACATGGACAAGCTGGCCAAGCACGGGCAGCAAGCCAACAAGGCGGCGCTCTACGGGGAGCTGTGCGCCCTGCTCTTCGCCAAGAGCCACTACGACGAGGTGAGGCCTTGGGGGGCTCTCCTGGCACTGCCAACGTGCCTCACCAGTCCTGGTTCTGCTCTCCTTGGCACCCGTGTGGCACTGCCAGAACAGCGATTCATTTATCCACTCCTGTTAGTGTGTATTGTTCTGTGTTAGTCTGTGAGCTCTTCGCAGCACTTGGACCAGCATGAACATACATGTTTAGCCCTTACAAAAGGGCTAAATCTGGAAAATCTAAACACTTTTGTGTGGCAGAGAGCAGTCGTTGGACTCAGTTTACTGCCTTTCATGTGTTACCTTGCCAATGTGTGTTGGTCACTTGTAAATGAAATATTATAAAAGCTTATTTTAATAATGAAAATTAATAGCAGAAGAGTCTTTGCACCTGGTTTGTTATACTCGCTCTGAAGTGTAACTACTCCATAAACTGATTTTCATTTAATCCCTAAATTCACTGACAGGGTGTTGTCCTGCACAATGGGAATGCTTAAAGATTATAAAATACCCTGTTCTGACTGTAAAAGTCATTGTAATAGTATAAACCTTAGATTAATATAAAATACTTATATATTTACTATTAACCTTAAAAGTGGGGTTTAAGTCTGTCTTTTAAGACATAATTGGACAATTCATTACACATAAGCAATCAAACTGTTTATTTTGAATTTTGGAATGTGAATGACCAGCTTTTCAGAGGCAGGTAATATTTTTTTAATGCTACAATGTTGTGAAATTCCAGCTTCCATTGTGTTGGTGTCTCTCTGTCCCACAGGCCTATAAGTGGTGCATAGAAGCCATGAAGGAGATCACAGTTGGGCTGCCTGTAAAAGTAGTGGTGGATGTGCTGCGACAAGCGTCAAAGGTGAAGCTTTGGGTACTCAGTTGCTGCCAAGAATGGCTGAGGAGAGGTTGTTACCTCCAGAATTCTCCTCAGGAGCCCTAAGGATTGTTGTTTGTGTTGTCTCAGAATGGGTGGGGGAGTCGGTTTCTATTTGTGTCTTTGTGAAATGGAGTTAGAGCTGCACAGGTGACCGCTGTGACAATGTTAACCTGCACGTTCCCCTGGAAGGGCTCTGGTCCCTCTTTGATCCGGACTAGGTACAGCACAATCCCTTCAGTCAGGCAGGATAAAATAACAAGTTTTTTAATTCTGTGCTCCTTAAATAACCAAAAAGTCCTTTAATAACCACAATGATATTTTGAAATTAAAAACAAGAGTAAGTGAGACAGTGTCTGGAGGGCTGAGCTGTGAGTGCACAGCTGCTCACGTGCTTCCCTTCCCCTGCCCAGGCCTGTGTGGTGAAACGGGAGTTCAAGAAGGCTGAGCAGCTCATAAAGCACGCTGTGTACCTTGCCAGGTAAGGGCCACTCCAGAAAAACCCTTCTAAAATTATCCTCAGCTTGCCTGGGTTTGTAATGGAGCTGTGTTTGTGCAGGGAGCATTTTGGAGCCAAGCACCCCAAATACTCTGACACGCTACTAGACTACGGATTTTACTTGCTCAACGTAGACAATATCTGCCAATCTGTTGCCATCTATCAGGTAGGCAGCAGGACTTGTTTCTCTTGATGGTTTTTATCTCTCAGATGTTGTAGTTAATTCATGGAGACAGAGGATAGTTGATTTCTCATTGCTGCGGTTGTGATGTTTAAAAAAACCCTAAACACCGCCAGCTATGGGGTTTTGCTTTCGTGGTCTTCCTCTGACTCGTGTCTTTTATATAATTAGTGTCTCAAATATGTACAGAATTTCAGAGCCAGTGGATTCATCATAGAGATGAATTTGGGGGTTTTTTTCTGTGCTAGCTGATGAAATTGTGTTTTTGGAACCCTTGCAGACAGCGCTCGATATCCGGCAGTCAGTATTTGGAGGTAAAAACATCCACGTAGCTACAGCTCATGAAGACTTGGCTTATTCTTCATATGTTCACCAGTACAGCTCTGGGAAATTTGACAATGCACTGTGAGTACAACACACAGCAGCACAGTTAGTGCTGTAAAAGAAGAAAAATATTCATTGCATTAATATTTCTAATTTTTCATCAGTCAACTGCTGGCATACATAAACAGATCCTGAATTTTTTATTTCGACTCTCTCAGATTCCATGCTGAACGTGCTATTGGCATTATCACTCACATTCTCCCAGAAGACCATCTCCTCTTGGCCTCTTCAAAGAGAGTTAAAGGTAGTTCCCTTTGTTGTTTGAACCATTTGGATCTGCTCATCCTGGTCCCTCCCAGGCAATGTAGCTTGAGTTGTCTTTTTCAGTGGAGGTGTTTGTAGTCCTTGATGTTTACAGCACGCTTGTAAAATATAAAAAAGAACCCCCAAAACTTAGCCAGATGAATTGGAGTGGGGGGATGAAATTCCAGACTATAAAAGCTTGACACAGCAGTGTGACAGACACAAAGGCTGGGCTGTGTCCCCAGGTGTCTGGGGCCTGGCTCTGAGCTGGGCGTGGGCACAGTGACAGTTCCTGTCTCCTGCCCCCAGCTCTTATCCTGGAGGAGATTGCCATAGACTGCCACAACAAGGAGACAGAGCAGAGGCTGCTCCAGGAGGCTCATGACCTGCACCTCTCCTCGCTCCAGCTGGCTAAAAAAGCCTTTGGGGAGTTCAACGTGCAAACAGCCAAACACTACGGCAACCTGGGCAGACTGTATCAGTCCATGAGGAAGTTCAAGGTAAGACTTTACTCCTGGCCTAAAATCTGCAAGACAACTGAAATCTGGTGCTACAAATGAGGGGTTTCAATGTCCAAGTTCAATTGGTAGTTCTGTGCTTGGAAAACTTATACTTTATCTTTCACCCCAAAAGCTTTGTCCAAAAATAATCCACGGAGATGGATGATACCCTCAGAGGGTGACAGAGAGCTTGGTGCTCAATCTGCTGATCCACTTAAGTAATGAATTTGGAGAACTTGGTTTATGTTTGGCTTTGTTACTGGTTGCCTGTTACAAAATGCTACTGTTGGAGCTGCTACATAGTTAAGTTTATTTAAACTAACTTTCCCCTCTTTTTGTGGGGTGGTGAGTGGTGTCTGACTGACCTGTGTGAATCTGGCCCTGACAGGAAGCAGAGGAAATGCACATCAAGGCCATCCAGATCAAGGAGCAGCTCCTAGGGCAGGAGGATTATGAAGTTGCCCTCTCCGTGGGTCATCTCGCCTCCCTCTACAACTATGACATGAACCAGTATGAAAATGCTGAAAAGCTTTATCTGAGATCCATAGCAATTGGTAAGTGACTACAGGAAACTTAAAGTTTTTGGAAAATAACTTGGCTGTTAATCTCTAGACAACATTTTGTGGCTAGAACATAAGTGGAGAATGAAGGCAAATTTGGTAGGTAAAAATAACCTGATAACTCAGATGCAGCCCGTGGATATTTTACCTCTCAACTTGGTTTTTCTGTTGGGTTTCTCTAGGAAAGAAGCTTTTTGGTGAAGGATACAGTGGACTTGAATACGATTACAGAGGTCTCATTAAACTGTACAATTCCATTGGCAATTACGAGAAGGTGTTTGAGTACCACAACATTTTGGCCAATTGGAACCGGTTGCGGGACCGGCAGTTCTCGGTCACGGATGCGCTGGAGGACGTCAGCACCAGCCCCCAGTCCACGGAGGAAGTGGTCCAGTCTTTCCTGATGTCTCAGAGCCTTGACGGACAGAGCAGCTAAGAACTTGGTCAATTAACCAGTTAAGGTTTTTTCCCCCAGGTTACAGGGGGAAAAGTCATACTGTGAAATCTAAACCATGTAGTTCTCTGGGGCCTGGAATTTGCGTTGAAACACTGGTCCAGTCTACTGAAGAGTGCCCATACGGATGAATGTGTGTTAAATTCCTCTCAGCATGTGTATGGCATGTTTAGTTCGGCTCACATTTTTAACTTGGTATTCCCAAAAAAAACCCCTTCTTTCTCTCTTCTTTCAAAAGAAGCTACTTTGCAGAAAGTCTGCAAGAAAACATTAAATAAAACTGTTTGAGTTCAAAAGAGTTGCATTCTTATTACAGATGGAAGGTTTCATCAAGAGCTTTCTGCTGATTGACAGAGAGAACAAAAGCTGTACTCTGAGGAGCTGTAGGAGAAAGGTCTTGCTGCTGTATCATTGTAGCAAAGTTCATGGTAAATAGCCAGCAAAGGGAGGATGTGCTAGCCTTGGCAGCTGCCTTACCAAGAGAAGTGGCAAAGACCCACTCTGGAGAGCACCATCTGAGTGCCACCTGTGCTGCTGTGGATGCCCTGAACTGGACCAGTACAGATCCCATAGACCAGCAACCACCACAGTGTCCTCGGTGCCACCACCAGAGCTCCCTGAGCAGGACCAGGACACCACAGTGGACCAGCCTGCTAGAAACCGGTTTTGGACCAGTGGCTTTAATTTAATATTTCTGCCCCTGCATTCACTTTGACAGTAGAACTCTCTCATTTAGGTGTCTGATCAGTGCAAATGATATCCATGTGATAGATCCAGAGCTAGGAAGTGAATTGATGGTTTGTCTATACCCAGTGAGCTTCTGCAGAGATTCCTGGCAGTGCCACAGCTCCACACGCTCCACTCTGCTGCAGCCACTCCTCCTTTCCTCTCCCACGGGCTCTTTCTCTCCTAACAGAGGCCATACCGTGTTCATACCAGTGAAGAGCTTTGTATTCCAGTCCAGTTCCATTTTCTGTTTCTGGAGAACATAACTTACTGTACAATTCACAGGGGTCAGTGGAAAATGCCAAAAAGCACAACAGGTCTTTTTTTTTTTGTGATGCTTCATTTCTACATTAAACAAGAGTACAACCAGAAACCGATTCCTTACGTTAATTTACGAAGCAGAGCTCAGCTGTACAGACCCTCTGAGAATGCCTCTCTCACTAGCTTGTCTTAATTCTTCTGCTGGGGGCTGTGTGGGTTTGGGTTTGGCTGTTGTTTTGGGGTTTGTTTTATTTCCTAATGTTGGGTAATATTTGAAAGTCTGTGTACCACAAACTAGAACTGCCTCGCTGCTGTTACCTCAGCTGTGCCAGTGGCACCAGCAGTGCCCTGGGTCTGGGATTCTGTGGGTTCTGCCGGTTTGGGGGTTTCTTTTCTCTCCCCCTCTTTTCAGGGTTTGTACCTTGGCCAGTTGCTGCTGGGGCTCGGCGGCTCTTCCCACAGGACTGGGACTGGATGTTCTGCTTGGGGTCTGGTCTTTCATTGCTTTATGGGGTTTGTGGCAGGGAAGGGTGCTGGATGATCTTCAGGGAAGAAACAGGTTTTCGACATGACTTGGAGCTTAATGGCTCTTCTAAGAAGTGAAATTTTACAGGCCAATAGTTCATATTCTGGTGCCTTCAAGTGCTTTTTTGAGGGGGAAAGGCTGGGTAATATAAATTTTTAAATGAAATTGCATAATTAGTGAATGCAGATTAATGATTGCATACTTCAAATATCTTCACTGAGGTGAAAAGAAGTATTTGCATAAAACCCCCTGTGGTATTAGGACTTAGCTGCAGTGTGTCTGCAACAGCTGCTCGGTAAAAATCCAACTTAGTTATGTGTGGATTTAAAATGTGATTTATTTATAGCAGTTTTTTGGTTTTGACTGTGTAGGAGCTACAGACAAATTCAGCTATACAAGGCAAAACCTTCTCCCTGAATGCCCATGGCACTGACAAATTATAAAGTTCTTATGAGTTCTTAAGTCCTATTAAAAGGTATTTAAAGTTAAACAAAGTACAGACAGTGGCAGGAAAGTGGCTGAAAGCTGTCCTAAAGAACCTGAGTGATCCTGTGCTGCAGGAGAGTTAGAGCTCCCAGCTGGGTACATGGGTTTACCTTGGCACGGCTGGAGATCCTTTACCCACTCCATGTTCCCAGTCTTGGGCTCTGCAGCTCTTGGCTGAGGAATCCCAAAGGTGTGTTTGGGGTGAGGAGCATTATCTGCCTGACACGGTCACTGGCCTGTGTGAACACTGCTCTTGTTCCAGCCCTGGCTGTGTCCCTGTCCGTGCTTTGCCTTTGGGTCAGGGCAGCTTCTGCTGAGGGAGGAGCTGTGCTTCCATATCCAAACCCATCCCTGCAGCTGCTTTCTTGGTGGCCCCACTCGCAGCTCTGTGGCCATTCCTGTGTCCTTCCCAGAGCTGCCTCAGCGCGGTGCCTGCCCTGAGCATGGGCTGGGCTGGCAGGAAGGTCCTGAAGCTCCCTGGGGATCCCTGTGGCAGAGGACTTGGCCAGGGGCTGTTGTGCTGATCCTTGAGGGCTCCAGCGTGTTCCTCCTGTGCCTGCAGGGAATCCTGGCTGGGGCTGAGCTGCCCCTGCAGCTCCATCGTGCTGGGGCAGGTCCCTTCTGGAGCAGGGTGGCTGTGGCGGATCGCTGACGCTGCTGGAGCGTGGCGGGTTGGCAGGATGATGCTGCAGCTGCCCCTGCTCAGGAGCTGCATTTGTGGCTGGCACGGCTCAGAGCTGACCCTGTGGGGTTTGGTTCCGTGTCTCCCAGGCAGAGCTGTTGGAAGGTTCTGTGTTGGTACCTGGAGCCTGTTTGGGAGGCTGTGCTGCCGCTGTTTCTGTCGCTCTCTCTGCTCTCACAGTTTGTTTGGTGCTTTTGAGGAGTGGGCAGCTGCTGGGATGGTGCCACAGGCAGGTGAAGGACTCGTTGGGGTGGATCTTGTAGCAGGATCCGGTCCTGCCCCACTCTGCCTGGCAGAGCTGGCAGCAGGGCTGCAGTGCCCTCTGTTCCCCTGGGGCTTTTCCAGCACCCCCTGGCTCCTCTCTCCCTGCTGCCATAGCCCAGGGCAGGTTTTCCATGCAGGGCTGGGGCCTGCCAGGTGGAACATGGATCCAGGAATGAATGGTTGGCATTTCTAGGCACAGAACACACCCATGCAGGGGCTGTTTGGTGCTGGCAGTGGAAGGGCAGACCTGGGAGTGGCAATCCTGTGAAATGCAACTTTTCCTTGAAGGTGAGTAAAGGAATCACTCCAGAGTCACTGGGTGCAAGTGGTGAGCACGGGTGTCACCTTAAGGTAAATGATTTTCACTATTGATGAAGTTAAACCCTCAGTATTTTACTTTGTGTGAGGTTGTTTGGGTCAGTGAGGGGGGGTTTGCTCCAGGTGCCATTGCTGCTTCTCGTGGTACAAAATGCACGTTGAAGTTCATTCCCTTTTTCAGCCCTGAGTGTGGGAGAGCACAGGAAGGAAAATTCTGTGCTGCACAGCCTCCCTCGGGTGATGTGGATGGGCTGGGCTCGGGCAGGGCAGGGCAGGTGCTGCTGGTACCAACCTTTCAGCAGATCCCTCCTGCTGCTGCCTGTGCACAACCTGACTTTATCTGGAAGTCCTTTTATAAGAAAATTCCTGGCCAGTGTCAGTTCAAAGCTGCCTCAGCATTTGTGGGTGTGTTTGACACTCCTGGCCTGGGGCCTTTGTGCCACTGGGCCCCGGGAGGGCTTTGGGGAGAAGTGGGGGAAATTTCCTTTCTGTAGAAATAAACTCCAATACCTACAAAGAATTGGCAGCACTGGGAATGCTTTTGTCCCTAAATCTCAGGAACGTTTTGGGCAGTGACACAGGTGTCCCTGGGTGGTGTAAAGTGTGTGCTCTAGGGTCTCGTATTCCACTACTCCTTGCAATCCTCGGTATCTATAGCATGAGTGGCCTTAGTGAGTTTGTTGAAGTGCACATTTTTTTTTCTTTTCAAAAGTAAATTTTAAGATGAAAAAAGATATATACTATATAAATATATAGAGATATTTAGAGACTTGGTTTGTGGTGCACAAGTTCAGTGTTGGATCGCTAAATACTCGTCGCAGGTACCATATGTGTAACTTTTCTTTTCTGTATATTCCTTTCTGGGAAGCAATGTTGCCATGGTAACTACAACTTTACAATTTCTTTACTACTTAATGATGTGAATGAATTCTACATTTTATTGAATATTACCAGGTTCAGTACTATTTTTATACTTTATTGAACTACAGGGGATTTTAATTTAATAGCATTAAAAAAAAAAAAAAAAAAGAAAAAGATGTTGCTTGAACTGTATAACTGTATAAATTGAACTACTTACACAAACCCACCTCTAAACCAGAATCTCCACCTGTAGTGCCACGTTCATTTATATAAAATATCTTGCTCATTACTAGACCTTGCAGCTCCCACTCCCTGTTGTGTCAGGACGAAGGTTTCGTACCCGCTTCTCCCTGCCACCCTTTGTGCCCACGAGCCATCCTATGTTTGTAACCAGCATTGTGATATTCTGTAACTGTATTGCTCAGATGAAATATTGACCTAATAAATAGAGTGTTCCCGCAGCCTGGAGTATCTGCAGTGAATTGGTTACAGCTTCCCTCCCCCAGTGCCTGTCCTTGCCAGGAGAAGGGGAAATCGCTGCCTTTGGGGTGAATCCCTGTGGATGGGGCTTGTGTTGGTACCTGTGCAGTGTGGACAGTGGGAGGGGGCAGCCTGTGCTACCTGGGAGATCTGGATCCTTCCCAGACCCTTCCCTACTTCTTGGGGACACAAATTCTCTCTGCAAGTGTGCACTGGCAGCACCAAAGCGTCTCGTGTGGCTGCCTGAGCACAGAGTGGGATAAAAGTCAGCATTTCTGGGGGTTTTTATTTTTAAACCATCAGGTTTGTGTGACCTGCAGCAGCTCCCCAGCTGTGCAGAGGCCTCCCCTCACCTCACAGGGCTGAGAGTTCTGTTTTTCAAGGCAGAATGCCCTGGAACACTCCCCTGGCTCTGAAGCCCGGCTCAGGCCAGGGGCCAGGCTCACAGGGGTGACCCCAGAGTCCCTGGGGCTGTGGCAGTGCCAGCTCTGCTCCTGCAGCCTGAATTCCAGCATGGAAACGGAGATCCCTGCGTGTCTGTGTGTGCTCCTGCAGCTTTCTCCATTCTTCCCCAGGGAAATGACAGCTGGGGAGTGCTGCATCCCGCCTGCCAAGAAAAAGCCAACATCAGTAGACTCCAGAGCAATTCTGTTTGCTGGTGTAAAGGAAGAATTAACAGCAGCAACCCTGAAAGTTCTGCCCTGGTGAAGGGAAACTGAGGTATGAATGAGGCTGTTCTGCTGATTTTTGGGGAGAGCAAGTCCAGCTGCCTCTATTAAAATGCGGCAGCAGGAAAGGCAATCCTTGTAACATTGCATTCTCTAGTTTATTCCAAAGATTTTCTGATCCTACTTGGAGCAGGAACCCCTGAAGGTGAAATCTTTCCTCTTTGCCCACATCACCTACTCAGGAAACTCAGGTTATTTCTGGCACAGCTCAGTTTTCCTTGAGAGCTTTCCTGTCATTTCTAAGGCACCTGAAGTCCTACTGGAAAAATTGTGGGATAATCCAAGTCCTGAGCAGCCTTTAATCTTGCTCTTAAATCAGTCTGACACTTTGAGGGCACAGTATTTTCCTAAAGCATCCACAGGCACTCCTTCATTTGGTTTACCTTTAGCTGGAGGCATTATTCTGTTATCCAGGGAAAATTCCTCAAGATCCAGGTCTGCTCCACCCAAGTGTCTGCTCTGCTGCCCTGGGAGGGTGAGACACAACAGCCTCTCAAGGACAGGGCCAGCACAGCCAGGAATCCCAGGCCCCTGCCCAGGTTTGGGGATGGGACCCACATTTAAAAAGGAAATCTGTTGTCCTGATTCTGAGAATGGTCCCCAAAGGGGTTCTAGGAGGGTTTTTTCTCACTTGGGTTTGGAGGTGAAGGCAGTAACTGAGCCCCCCCCCACTGTCCCATTCCAGCATGTGGGAGTGAAGGATCTTTTGGGGTTTTGCTGGTCAGATTAAAAGATTTCTGGGATAAATTATTGATATTTCTAATGTTTCCTTAAAGCCTGGATTGAACTATGAATCACGTGGCCAACCCCAAAGCCCAGCCAGAGTCATTCAGAATCCCAGAACTATTCAGGTTGGACAAAACCTGGGATCATCAAGCCCGTTGGTGATCCAGCCCTGCCAAGTCCCTGGACGAGGAGTTTCTGCCCCAGCAAGGACAGGAGCAGCTGCTGCTTCTTCCAAAAGCTGCTCTTCTGTGATAGAAGAGGAATGACGTACTGAAGGTAGGTCTGGTACTTGCAGAGCCTTAATCCAGCCTTGGTGTTGATGCACAACTCTTGGGGATCTCCAGGATCATCATAAATAAGATCCCATGGCCTAAAATAACAGAATTTTCATTTAGCTGGGCTGGAGCTTGTTGCTATGACACTGCAAGTATTGCAGGACTTTGTGGTTCTGGGAAACCATGGAGACAGTCTGGATTCTCTGCTTTTGTTCAGGTGAGGATGCTGTACTGATTAATTTCCATTGACCTCTCTGATGGTGTCTGGGGACCTGAGAAACCCCTTAAAGTAACTGGAGGGCAGAACTGATGCTGGCGAGCCCAGTCTGTCCCCTGGGGGTCTGACTGGGTGGCTTCTGTAGGTGGCTGCATCCCACAGCTCCCGTGTCCCTGGGAGCAGAGGGGAGCAGCAGGAGCTGCGGGCTGCTCTGCTGGCCCGTGCCCAGGCTCTGGGCAGTGAGCAATCCCAACCGCAAGGGATGCTCCTTGCATTTCAATTGCGCTGATTTGGGGCGTCTCACGCGTTTTGTGTCCCTGCTGCTTTCTCTCAGTAGGAACTGGCTGGCTGCTGTTCCCCCAGCCCTGCGGGAAGCGGCCAGGCGGGGGAGGATCTCCCGGAGCCGGCAGGGCACCGAGAGACTCCTACTCAGCCTCCCGGATCACGTTGTCTGGCAGCTCTTGGCTTTTGACTTTTGGTTTACCTATTTATATTTAAAGCGCTCCCTCTGAGCTGTTACAGAGCAGATTGGACGTTTCAGAGGTAAAGAGAGAGACTGGGGAGAAAAGATATGAGAAATGAGCTGGTTCTGAGTGCCTGAGAACTCCCACGGGACATGTGGCTGGGTTTTAGCAGCTTGAAAATAGGTTTATGTGGGACAAAGCCTCCTTCCCGGGCAGCCTGTGGCACCTGTTTGTGCTGGCAGCAGCTGCCTCTCCCGTCCCTGTGTCTTTCTGCCTTTGGGGTGTGCAGGTGCTGGAGTAACCAGTGCTGGGACTGGAGGCACAAGCACCTCTACTACAGGTCGGGCTGCATTTTTGCTCGGGAAGTCAAACGTGTGGCTGGGCTGGGGTGGGCCCAGAGCAAACCACAACTACCTTGGAGCATCCAGATTGCAAGGAAGGGACACCCTAGTTACCAGCAGCTGACAACAAAGCGCTGGCTCATTCCTCACTCCCTCCCCGGCTGGAGCAGCTTCTCCAGCTGCTGCTTTCCCTGCTCCCATGTCTGGGACAGCAGCTCAGCCTGCCCAGCTCCTCCAGCACTGATCACATCTGCACCTGCTCAGCCTTCTGTAAAAATTCCAGGTGGAAAGGCTCTGTGTGAGCAGGAGAATGTTCACCCTGCTTGGTGACAGTGGCTGTCCCTGAAGAGGAAAATGTCCACCCTGCTCGGTGGCAGTGTGACAGTGCCTCACCTGTCCCTGCTGGGTGGTGACCTTGCAGGTGTTGGAGGTGACAGTCGCTTTGACCCGGCTGTTCCTGAAGGTACAAGCGGTTTAAAGCTGCTTCAGAGTCTTTCCTGTGAGCTCTGGAACCAAGCTGGGTTTCGTGAAGGACAGCAGAATTGCTTAAACGGAAAAAAAAGAACATAAAGGCACATTTAGAGGTGTTAATGTCAAGGAGCACCGCAAACCGACTCATAGGGCAATAGCTTTTGCTTAACCTGCCCCCGTGGGGTGGCAGCAGGGCATCGGCACAGGGATTTCTCGTTCCGGGCTCCGCGGGGGGATGGGAGGGGTGTGCGCTGCCACTGGATGTCACTGTCGCCGTGTGGCACCGGGAGCACGGCGGGGTGGCGCTGGTCCCTGCGCTGAGCTGGGCATCCTTGGGAAAAGCCCTGGGGATAAAGAACCTTCCTGATGCCAGAGGTGACGCTGCTTGCATTTTGAATTTTTAAACCCAAACGCTTGCAGGGGCTCGGAGAGTCCAGGAGGCTGATTTCTTCCCCAGAGCGAGACGTGAGGCTGATTCCTGCAGCTTTCAGCCACCTACAGGAGCCAGGAGAGGGCAGAGGGTTCTCTGTTCTAGCTCAAAGCTGAGACTGGGAGCTGGGATTTTCACCGAGTGTAAAAACAGAGCTAGGACCAGTGCTTAAATCCAGATGTGTGTGGCTTTTTGGTTTATTCATTTTAGTCTAAAATTATTTTAATACCAATTTAAATTTTTAATTAAAAAAAAAAGCCTAGAACCCCAAATGCTGAGCAAGGAGGATGTAGATCCCTCATTTAAATGGCTGATGAGCAAGGCTGGTGGATGGCTGCCCACTGGCCTCTCTCCTTAACAAAGCCCCCAAAATTATCAAATGACTGTGCTGACAACCTCAATCCCTTAAAATTAAATATCGATTCTGTATTTTTCTGTTGACTCATCCAAATCAGGAGGCGTTTCCAAGGCATCTATTTCTGCTGCTCGGAGCGTGCGGTGCCCCCCGGAGCCGTAGCCTGTTGTTTGTGCTCGAGCAGGGAGTCGCAAAATGCCGATTTTTCTCCCACTTGTCTTGCATAACAAAAGGCATTTGTCACCCTTACATAACGGCGGGGTTTGTCACTGCTCCCGATGCTCCTCAGCATCCCCGGCATCCCCACAGCCCCACCTGGCCTGCCCCTTATTCCCTCCTTCTACGGGAAGGTGTGGAGCTGTGGGGTTTGCTGGTGGCTTTTTAGGGGAGCAAAAGGATGGGAGGCTGTTTGGGGGGATTTTTTGCTTTTTAATACTTGTTTGAGTGGGCAGTGGGGCTTATCCTCAGCTGAGGTCATGTGCCAGGCCTGCAGGAAGGGCTGTGCTGGAAATGGAGCTGAATTGCCTCTCTGCAGCCCTCCCAAGTTTCAGGGAGCAGAGCATCTGTCACCACCTGCCTCCCCGGGCCACCAGTTGCTCTTTTAATGCCTCTCCTCTAATCTGACACCAGCAGGAATTCAGGTTTGGGCTTTTCTTTACAGTAGGTTTGGTTTCCTCCTGGGTGGAATATCTTCTCAGAGCCTTAAAAAGAAATAAATGGTTTTGTTTCCTCAGGAACTAAAAGCAAAAGCTGGCTGGCTTCCCCTTTCTCTCTAGCTGGAGGAGAGAGCTGTTTACCTGTGGCCTCACACTCTTTTGTGGCCTTATCACTGCCAGCTATCAAATGACCACAGCTCCCTTCTAAATGTGAAGCAGCCAAATGCCCCAGTAACCCAACAAAGTAGTCCCTGTTTTCTGGTCTCCTCAAAACAATTTCTTAGTTGACACTTTTTTTTTTTGTGTGTGTGTGTATCTGATTCTAATTATTTTTTAATGAACTCCCTAAAGTCCATGTTTCTTGTGGACCTTTGAACTTCCTGGTGCACCCAGCCTTTGCTCAGGGGATATGTTTATGGTTGGTTCTGAGCTAACCCTTTGGAGTTTGTGTTCTCAGGGAACTTGATGTACTTCCCTTCCCTCGTACAGGTGATGCTCAGGCACAGAGATCACTGCTGGCAAACCCAGGCTGCACCTCATCTCGTGGCCTGATTCAAAGTTTAATTCCAGTAGAATCAGGTAAAGCTATGGATCAGATCAGATCTGTAAAGCATGACTGGAAGATGGGATGAGCAAAAAGCTCTAAAGATTGTAAGCAGTACTCAGCCACCCAGAGCAGCAGAGAAAGGATTGCTGATAAACAGATTTCTCAGTAACAGGCTTTTCCTTTGCCATGGATCAAGTCACAGATGCTGCAGGGTATGGTCTTCCCTTTAAATCAACACAGCAGGAACACCTTTTGGGGATTACATTTCCCATTTTCTCATCCATTTGCTTGTTCTTGATGTGCTTTTACACATTGTGCAGTTGCTTTGTGTCCATCCTGAGAAGAGGGAGACAAATTACCCCCAAAAAGCAGAAGGCAAGATGTAGATTGTGCATGTGAGTACAAACTTCATCCTCCTCCTCATTCTGCTCCCAGGTCTGGCTTGGGAGTGTAACCACTGACAGACCCTTTGCACAAAAATAAACTTTTATTCTGATTGGGAAAAAACCTTTTATTCTGATGGGGAACGGGGACCTTGGGCTGCACCTTGGGTGTTCTTAGGGAGCTGGCTGGAGCTGAGACCTCAGTTCCATCCCAGTGTAATGGGAGTTCAGGGTTATCTCCTTCACAGGTGATGGTGAAAGCCAACAGCAGTGGGATTTCTTTCTCCTGCATGACATCTCTCAGTAAACTGCCCCTGCCAGAGAGAAGCCTGGAAAGGCTTGGAGTTAAAGGGACTTTGTTTTGGAAATTTACTTCCAGGCGAAGTGCTTTCACAAAGAGAACTGCCCTGTGCTGCCGTCATGGCCTGACCAGTCAGACAAGTGCCATTGTTGTGTCCCTGGGACAATTGGTGCAATTGCTGCAGCTGTGACTCAGCTGTGCTCCTGTGCCAGGTCGCTTCTGGCACCCGCAGTCATGCCCAGGGCTGCACAAAGGCCCCTCTCTCTGAGGGCTCTGGGCCCGGCGCTGCTCTTGGCAGAAGTTGGGATGATCTTGGTCAGGAATTCCTTGTGCAGCTGGTGGTGCTGAGCTCCTGCTGAGCCAAATGCCCAGAGCGGGTATCACCTTGGGAAGGTGGGTCTTGAAACAGAGGCAGGTTCTTGTTCTCAGGCTGTCTTAGGGAAGCTTGGCTTTTACCCATGGCTGAAGTCAATAATGACAAAAATCCATTAAGACAAGCCCTCTCCCTTGAGACGTCTGTGGCATTTTCCCTCCTGTGTCTGCTTTCTTCCTGCCCCTCGTCTGAATTTTGCTGTCAGCTCTGGATGCAGGAGCCTTTCACAGGCAGGTGCTGAGCAGATGCAAAGGTGATTTCTTGCTAACTTTGCAGTGAAGTTTGCTTGGAGCATCTGAGGTACGTTACAATTGTTTAACCCACGCTAGGATTTTTGTGTTAGGTGTTACTTTACACAAGATAAGCTGTCAGAGGTGATAGCTGAGAGTGTAGCTGTGCTGCCTCAGCCTGTTGTTGTGAGGACTCTGTTAGAAGTGGTTTGGTTGAAGGGGGTGTTGAAAATGCAGCTGGTTTCTCAATGCCTGTTCCCAACCACCCTCTCATTGTGCCTGCTGTCTGCAGGTCAGGTCACTGTCCCCACTGTGACAGGCAGCTCCTCTCCTCCTCGCCTGCAAAGACTGAAACCAAGGAGTATCCAGTTTATGTCCTCACCTCTCCAGTCAAGGTGCCAAAGGGTAGCATGTTCCTGGCTGATCAGAGCCAGGAGAAATGAAGCTTCCCCAGCACAAGCTTTCACCTGCATTAGCAGCCAGATTAAAGCCATTTAGGAGCTCCAGGACGTGAGCTGGATGTTAGCAGAGGTATAACCCATATTTGCATGGCCATATCTGTGTCCTTGTGAGATTATAGCTTCCACATGGCATGAGACTGCAGCATGGAATGGCTCTCCTGGCTTATGTGTACACACCACTCTGCAGAGGATTGAGAGGGCCTTGAGTTCCCCTTGCAAATCCAAGGCTTTGTTCTCCCTTTCAGTGTTGGCTGCACTCAGAGCTCAGCCAAAGCCAGGGATATGCAAGTGGGAGGCACAGATGGACTTCTCTGGCCAGCCTTCATCTGAGGATCTTGCTGTATTTAGAAGCTGCCCATCAATGTGGTTCACTCCTGCGAGATCAGGCACGAGAGAAGCCTGTGGCTGTGTGCTTCCCCCTCTTCTGGGAGACAACACTGCTTTCTCCTGGGAAGCCTCTCCTGCTGGAAGGTGGCACAACACAGGCCACATCTCTGGAAATCTATCAGATTATCCTGCCTACCTACAACAGGAATGCTTTGAAAGAATGTTCTGATTGGATGGGGAAAATCAGAGTACAAACAGATTATGCCTCTCCCGTTTCTCCCTGTGAAGGAGAGGAGCCCAAGTGCCAGTCAAACACACTGTACTGAAACAGTGCACCTTAGGGAAAACTCTTCCTTTTCCCCTGACAGCTCTCCTGTGAATATTAATTTCTCTGTTTGAGTGCCTTCATCTTCCAGGAGCTGTGCAAGTGCAAACATTAACCAACTCCTCTGGTGCAGCAGCTCTTGCAGTGCAGAGTAGGCATGGAGCCAAAAAGGAAGCAGTTGTGAAGGTGTTCTGTGTCGGCTGCTGGTTGTTATTTGCTGCTTTGGGCAGATTTACCACGATTACCATGTGCAATGTGATGAATCTGGTGTATATAATATATGCAGGCATCTGATATGGTATTTATGTACTGATAGGTCACAGGAAGGAGAGCTGATAAACACAGACAAATGTACAGGTATTCTGTATTGTACTTAAATCAGCTGCCTGTACGTGTGGTTTAGTTAAACATCAACCCCAAACCCTGCTGCCAGATGTATTGCAGTGCAATGCCAAATAGGAATTGTAATGAGGAATGTTTTCCAGCAACCCGTTCTTACCAGGAGAGTGGTGAATGCTCCATTTGATGGAATGATTAATGATATTCAGCAACTGCTTGGACTGCTGGGGTGGAGGCTTTGCTAATTCCATCTGGAAGTTCCTTTCTGGGTGCTTAAGGGTGATGAAGATCTTTTCTCTGCAGCTGGGTGACTATTGGCTCCAGTTAACAAATCTTGTGTCAGGGGAAGGGATCTGAAAGAGAATTTGGGCCAGTTATTGTTTCTGTGTGGCACCATTAGAGGCATCTGAACTGCCAGAGGAGCTCCTTTCTGGTACCTGTCAGGAGTAGCTCATTTAACCACTTGTTTGCAATTAATGTGGTCTAAACACAAGTGTGATTAGTGACCAGTGGTGTGGGGAAAACATAAGCACTTCTGCATTTCTTTTATCCACCTCTGGCAAAACCAGGTGTGTTCCAAGTGCTCCCAGACTGGGAGACACGGGCAGCCAAACCTTCCAGGGTTCCCAAAGGTACCAGTGACCAACCTCTGGTGCTGGTGTTCCTGCACTATTTTAGGCTTCAACGTTTCTGTAGATGTTTGTCTTCAACTTCTCAGCCAGCTCTTTGTGAGCTGATTGTTGGTGTTTGCTAATGTCCTATAACTTTTATAGCTGCTTGAAGTCCTCAGGAACTGAAAGAGCATTATCAGCTTCCTCCACACTTCTTCAACTTCATGCAGCCTGTGAGAAACAAAATAGTTAAAGGCTTTTATTTTTATTGTGCTTTGAAAGTTTTTAGGGGTTTATGCAAATTAAAATAGGCATTATTAATAAGATGTTCATGAGCCCATCCCTTAGGTGCTACTTATAAAATCAAATCTGTAACAAGTTGGGTATCTCTTTGTATTGAAAATAATATGACTTCTTTTGGATGATGAAATATGAACTCTCTAGGTGATACCAGCCTTGGTCACTTCCTCTCCCCAGTGAATCAGAGAAGCCTGGAGAATTATGAACCTGGCACACATTTCCCTGTTGGTGCTGCCCTTTGTGTGCTCATCCTGCCTCTCTCCTCTCATGCCTGTGCCTCCCATCACACTGCCCTGTGCCTGACCCTGGGTGCACAAAGGGTGGCTGCTGCTTGGAGTGCTGCTAAATTCCCACTTAGCACTGACTTCAGTTCATGGATTTTTAGAGGAAGTTTTGGTTTGCGTTGTATTTTGGCTTTATTCAAAGGAAAAAGCAGGGAAGATCCCCTCCAGCCTGCAGAATGTAGCTGTCAAGAGAAGTGGCTTCATTTCTCTTTCTTAAAGCTTTGAGTAGCCTGTTATTCTTAAAATAAGCCCCAAAAAGGGCAGTCTTCTTTACGTTATGCTTTGGGTCTCTTGTATGGTGGTGCAGGGGAGTAGCTGTAGTGAAAAGTAGGCTCTGCTGAGATTGGCAGGAGGAAAAAAAAGCAGAGCATGGATTTCATTTCTCTGATGATCTGATTCCCTCCTACCAGCCTGGAAATGCTGAACGTGAGCCTTTGTCTGGCATATGGGGATTTGGAGAACTGCTGCTAATTACAGCAGTTGTGCTATCCTGCTTAAATGGCTTAAATAATATATTAAGTGCCTTTATGATCTCCCACAACATGCTGGAATGCAAAGAAGTGCATATTCTGCTGTTTATAGTTTATGGCAGGAGTTACTTAGAGAACATTAATCTGCACAAAAAATGGGGTTTGACGATTTATTGCTTATGTAACTCCCTGTGGGGTCTCTAGATGCTCAGATCCCGTTGTGCAGGGTGTTATCCTGAGGCAGAGCATGAATTTCCATCTTGGAAGGTGACGTTTAGTCAAAAGGAAAGACACTGTGGATGGTTGTAGGGATGACAGGGAAGGGTCATGACACACTGCTGGTCAAGCATTGTGCAGTTAATCTCAGTCTCATGGCAAAGGTAAAAAGTGTGGAACCTGGAGGAGGACCACAGGAAGCCTCATTCTAACTTATTTAAGGAGTATTCCCATTATTTTCATTAAAATCTAATTTGAAATTAGAAGCATGTTACTAAGCATCATATCTAGAAGTGGGAGTCTTCGAGGGCCTAGATTAGTGCTCATCCAGAAAAAGAAAGGTATTATGTCTGCTCAGGAATCTTTTTTTACCCCTTTTCATGTTTTTATTTAGCAAAAATTGTTAGTCATCTGTTTCCACCCAGATTCCCGTGTCTCTTGCTTCTAAATCACCAATTTCTATTTCTGCTATTGTACCTAATGCTTAGAAAAAATGTGAGAAGAGTGTGTTGTGAATGTCTTGTTGCTGGATCTGGTGTGAGGAATAACTGTGGAACAGCTGAGCAGTGCTAGCCAAGGGCTCCAAGAACCTGGGAGGGCACGTGTTGAGGGGGAACAGAAATCACAAAGTGACAACAATGAAAAGATTGGCACATTCTGACCCTTAATCTGGTTTAGCTTGACATAGCTCTCTGTAAAATCACAAGTTCTGTTAGAATACAGTACTAATTAGCAATATTTCTCCTATCTGAAATTAATAGGCTCTGCAGTGTAAGAAAAAAAAAGAAGTATTTTTGTCTGGTTTTGCTTGCTAGTAGCTTGAAAACAGGGAGGTGAGAAACTTGTGTCAAATCTTGAAGTATAATTTTGCAATTAAAAGACTGAGGAGAAAGTGTGATCTGAAGACCTTCAGTTTCCTCGCCGCGACATAAAATTAACAGCTCTCTTCATTCTTATTCTGGTTTAATATTCCTGCAGAGAAGGAAGCAGAAAGAACTCCCTGGGCTGGCTTCAGTGGAATGGAGGAGCTGTTACTTAGGCAATAACAGGGTACAGGCTGGGAGGGGTTTGGGCTGGCATTAGCTGGGTAATGTCTGCACTATGCTCTGGATGCTAAAATGTGATATATAGCTAAAGCTAAAAACAGAGAGATGCTCTCTGGGAGATAGGAAACTGTTTGAAAGCACCTCCTGATTGGCTTCCCAGAAATTTTCAAGGTCATACATGCACCAGCTTGCAGGGATGCACAGCTGGCACCTCATCACTAAAGCCAGAAGAATCTCAACTCAAAGGCTGTTAGTGAACTGTGTGGGTAAAAATAGAAGGATAAATTGAAACTACCTGAAAGTGGAAGAAACAGCTGGGAAGTGATAAGAGAAGGCAAAATGAGTGAAGAAACTCTTGCCCATCATTGTGGTGTCCAAGTGCTTTATAAGAACTTCAAATTGCTCCTTCCTTGAATATACCAATTTTCTTTTTCAAACTGTGACAATTTTGCAACCTTCATCTACTCTGAACTTGTCTTCTATTGCTAAGAATCTGCTCAAGAGTCTACTCCATACTCCAGGCCTAAATTTTATTACAGTTGCTGGGTCTAAAGCTCTTCTAGGAGTAGCTGGACTTTTACCCAGAAGCTGAGTGAGTGCCAAAGGCTTTTATGGATCAATTAACCATACATTTTATAAAATAAATATACATGCAAATACTTAATATGGTAGGCAAAATTCTGATTAACCCCTAATGGTTTACCTTGCTGCAGGTGCACAATCAATCCACAAGAGTGGCGAGGCAAAATGTTGTCAGAGCTACACGACCAGTGATCTGTCATGTTTGGTTTGGGAGTCCTCTGGAGCACATTGGAGTGTTCAGCTGAAAAGACAGGAAAACAACCTGGTTGTCAGCGTCCTGCAGTGGCTCACTGCTGGATTCAGGGGGTGGGGTGGCTTGAGCAAATGGCAACTCATCAGACTGTTTTAGTTGCCTTCTTGGCTTGAACAAACAGTTTTTCATTGACTCTGATTACAGGCATGATGCCATCTTAGATAAAACCTCTTGATAAAGGACTTTAAGATCCTTAATTACTCTTATTAGCCATTTGACACCATAAAATAGAGGTCTGCTGTTTTAATGCCTGTTTCACCCTGTCTGTAGGGTGTCTGGAGTCCTTAACAAAAACAGGGAGGTGGAACTTTTAGAACCTGATTGGAAGTAATGTGTGCATAGTAGCATAAAAATGTGTGTGTGTGTGCACATTTGGATATGCCATTGTCCAGAGCTCTTTCACTCTGTGTTGGGAGAGCACTGAACTGAGACATCAGCCTGTTGGCAGGGCCATGAAGGCTGGCAGGTTTCTCTGTTTGGGGATGTCCTTTGTTCAATGTTTGAATCGTGTAAAACCTTAATTAGCAAATAAGAAGCTTTGGCCTTCTCTTGCAAGTTCTGAAGCAGAATTAAGGGAAGTGCCAGGATGTGCCAAATGACACAACAGCTCTGGCTCTGTGGCTTTTGTTTTGCTCTGCTGCCCTGCTGTTTTGAGATGTGCTTCCCACTGTATCAGCTGCTGGCAAAATGTTCCCCAAGTTGGTGTGTGTTTGATGCTTTGGTGTTGCTTTCTCTGTACACAACACTCAAAGTGCTGCAGTGCTGGGGATGCTGTGAGCAGCAGCCTTTGAGCTGAGCAGAAAGCAGCCCTTTCTTTGCAGGGGAGAGGTGTCCTGTGGTGCCACCGTGGCGCGTCCCTGCCCGCTGTGTGCCGTGCTCTGCGAGCCACTCAAGCTCCTCTTTCCACAGCGCAATCTGGGCCTTCCCAGAGCAGAGTCAACATTAGTCACTTCGTGCAAAGCCACTCCTTTCATTTGATCTTCTGGTACTAATTACTTGCACTTCCTCTTGTCACAACGCTGGTGTTTTTTACTGCCCTGGATGGAACAGCAGAGAAATCCCTTACCTCCATTCCAACACCACAGTAGTTTCTGTCTACAAGAAAGCACAGAATTGCTTTTATCAAATACATTTCTTCTCCCATTGTTTCCTGATGACAGATACTACTCTTAATCTACACAGAGACAACACTTTGAAACGGGAGATCTCTATTCCCATCAATTGTTGGTGCGTTGATAAATCATAGCATGTCTCATTTTCTGAATGACACGTGTCTGGATTGCAGTCTGCCTCTTTTTTGTCACAGTTTTTCAGTGCTAACAACAGCCTTGCCAAAGCTCATCTGTTCCCTTAGTGTGCACTCCAGCAGGCTGATTAATTCTGTCACACTTTCCCTGTATAAGGCATAATCAAACAGGTTGATAGAAAATCGGGAAGGATGTGATATTCTTATAAATATCCAAGGCATTACCCTTACCTCGTGACTGTCATTAGCTGTGGCACCTTGTTACTCCTGGGTTGGAGGAGCATCAGCAAAGTCTGCCAGGAAAGAAGAGTTTGTCACTGTTCTTTGTGGGCCTCAAGTGTGATCATGCCACCCTTCCACGCACAGGGAAGCCTTGCTTAGGAGAATATCAAGAGTGGAGGGTGCCTTATGGTGTTTTCTTCTCTGTCTTTCAAAGGCAACTGCAGGAAAAGTGGGGGACCACTTACCCACGAACCTTAAAATAGCTGTGAACGCGTGTGACGTGCCTCACTTTCCTGGGTTGTGGAGATCCCGCTATTAATAACAGGAGCTGAAATTATGGATTGAGCAGTAATGTGAGCAGCACTTCTGAGCAGCTTTAAACCTGTCACGGGCTCCCTGAACACAAACATCCAGGGGTAAGTGGCTCAGCAGAAACATTAATTAATTCTTTCATAAAGAGGTGGCAGAATTAAACAGAGGTAGCCCACAGCTCAAATGAGGTCTGAGGGATGCTCCCACTTCCCTTGCTGCCTTTTGCGAAGCCTGGGCAGTGCTGTCCAAACCCCGTTCCTGTATCTGCCACAACCTGATGTACAGGTCTGGCGTTTGGCACGCGTGGGTGTGTAGAGCAGGGCTGTCACTCTTGCCTGCGCAGCAGCGGCTGTCACCCCCGCACTGAACTGTCACCAGAGCTCAGCCCTCTGGGACAGAGGGACGCGCTGTTCTCTCCCGTGTCCCCGCCCCGCTTGGAACTCACCAGGAAAAAGGAGGGGATGAGGTGTCCGCTGCTGCCGGGAAGCAGCAGGGGATGATGCCAGGGCAAGGGCCTGGCTGTCGGGGCAGGGGTGGAGATGGGCAGCTGTCCAAAAAGTCATGAGAGTACTGGGAAGAGGGGATCTCTAGGGCAGGTGTGAAAAGAGAAGCACCCTCAAACTGGAAATGAGGGAAAAACCCCCAATCATCTCACCCCGAGAGTCCCCTGGCTACACCACACTGCAGCCCTGGTGAGCACTACTTTCATTAACAAGTCTCTTCAACAAGAGACTTTAATTTCATTTTAATTTTTTTAAATTAAATTTTTCATTTTCCCCTGCAGTATTCCACTACAAAGTTCATACTGGTAATAGTGTGGGAGTACAGCTTACATGACAACATAGAGGGACCTGGTAAGACTCTGCTCCTTTTACTTGCCCCAGAGTTCATATAAATCTATCACCCTCTGCTACCAATCTAAGCCACTTGTTTCCTAGAAAATGTGGGATGTGATAGAAGTTTCAATTTGAATATTGTTCTGTTGTTCTTTGAGGAAGCCTTCTGTATGTCCTCTCTCTCTGATAACATCAGAATCAGACTGGCAGATAATGATTCGGGGTATTTTTCTCATTCACCAGTTCACTGTAATTAGATATGAAACAATTTAGCTCTGACCACTGCAGACCTGATTGAATCTTCTTATTGCATCTTGTTCTCTCCCCCACTTTCTGCTCTTCTCAAATATTCGAGATGTGCTCTGCCACGCTCCTGTCAGGGCTGTCTGAAGCAAGAAGGGGTAAAAGTTGTCCTGCGTTTTTCCAGCGCTAAGAAGTCCTTTAAAACGTAACAATATCCCAGGGTGGGGAGACGGGTACTGGGGAAAGAGGCACCGATTTAGAGGCTGACAACAAAGTTGCATTTGTTTTAGTGAACATGAATCAGGAAATCCTAAGGCCTTACAGTGCTCTTCTCAGAAGTGTTTTTGAGTTGCTGCAGCAGTTCCTCTGTTGTTTGGTTTGTCCCTTTTGAGTTCAGGCCTTTCCAGTGCGGCTCCAAAGCCCCTCTCCTTGCAGCTGCCTGCTGTGGGCTGAGCAGGAGCCGGAGGCTGTGGATTTTCCCCTGCAGCCTTGGACTGCAGCAGCCCTGGCAGAGCCTGACAGCCGCTGTGCTGCCAGGCTCCCGCTGCTCCTGTGCAGCAGTAAATACCTGCTTTGCCTCAGATCCTTGACAGTGATGCAGAGACACTTAAAGGTATTTGCTAAGTGCTTGTGAATTAGTTTTTGATTAGCGAATAATTAAATAAATTCCAGCAATCCAAAGGACACGTGCCCAGTTCGATTTGCATACGTAGCACTTCTCCGTGACAAGACAGGAGCTCAATTCATCTAATGTAAGTTTAAATTCACTGTATCTTAATTTGATTTACTTTTGACACAGCATTTAAATAGCAGTAACATCTAATCTTGTGCTCCCCAATAAGGCTTCAGTAAAAACTTACTGCCAGATCTAATCCAGGGTTAGCACACACAGCCTTATCTCTGGATTCTTGCTTCAGTGCCTTTGAGAACATGCTTAATTTAATCTGAACAAAGGCACTGCCATCGGGAGCCTCCAGCCTGGTTTTCCAATCCAGAGTATCTTTGTGATTAAATTTGGTGCAGGCCACCGTGTGTACAATGGATCCAGTAAATGATTTTGAAGTGCTCTTCAAACAAAATTCAGCTGGTTCTTGGACACCGCCTGTACCTCTGAGACATGAGGGATGCCACTTTAGTTGGGCGTTTCTTAAGTGACATACATTTTCTTTGGAAAGAGGTCTGGGTTTTTTGGTTAATAGGAAATGTTAGCCATTATTAAGAACCATCACTCCAATCCCTTTTCCTTCCCACAGTGGAAGAAACTCCTTGCTAGAGGGTTCTGCTTCCTCATTTGCACCATATACCCAGTCAGCTGTTTGTGACTATAAGCTGGTGGCTGATTTGTAATTATGATTTCAGTCATTAATTTTTTTCATGATTTAGCTCTCATTAAACCCCCTATACTGCCTAATAATCTCTACTACCTAAGAGCGGGGTTTGTGTGAACTGTAAGCAGAAGTTCTGTCTTGACATCACTGATAAAAATGGAATAATTTTTCAAACTGTGGTGGCTGCAGAGGCACCGGGGCAGAGTTGTCCTGGCAGGGTCCCTCACTGCTGGGTGTAGACAAAACAGGCCTGGCAGTGTTGTGTCAGGTCTCAGTGAGCCTTGGTACTCAGGGGTTGGCTGTTGCTCTCTGGTAAGAGCCTGAGGATAAACAGTGATGGAGAAACTGGCCTGAAAACCAGCAGGAATTGGTGTGGAGCTGCCTTACCCCACCACTGAAGCTGCTTCCGGCTCTAATTGCTTTCTCTAACTGCTCTGCCAGTTTGGGGCTGGCTGTGTCCCAGTGCTGCTCGTTCCAGGCAAAATGGGGTTTGGTCATTATCTTTGTAATTCAGAGCAGAAACCAAAACATTAAAATATTATTCCTGGATGTAAGGTCACACAGGAACACGACAGACAAGTCAGGAATTAAACCCCATCTCCTCGGGTGAGAGTTAATGCTTTAAGAAAAAGGGATCCATCACAAACAGAGCATGGCTTTAGGGATGCCATGGAATATTTCACTTAATCACAAGATAAACCATATTTCTCCAGCTGTTTCTCATATTGCCAGCTTAGGCTTTTGATTAATACGTTGCCATGTTTGTTGAATTCATTCTCAAATGTTTTAAAGTTTATTTTATATCTAAACTGAAAGCTGCTTGGTGAAGGAACTATGTTAAGAAGAGATATGTAAAGGTAGGGCAGGAATAAGGGTATATATATATATATATATATGTATATATATATATATCAAGGGTGCTTATATCTTGTTATTCTTAGCTACCCTGACATTACATTTACCTTTACTCTTTAAATGATAAGTACATAACAGTGGCTGATGAGTGAAGTATATTTCCACCAATTTAATTTATATTTTTAAAAATCACTTAAGTCTCCCCCTCATCCACATAAGAGAGGTAAAAGGTGTCTTTGTGGCAGATTTTATTCCTGAAAATGATATATTTTTTTTAATATGCCACAAATCTAAGATAAAAAACAGTTCAGCAAAGATAAAAGGAAGCTTTATGGAGCTTATTTCACTTGTAGTGTGTTTGCTCTTGGGTTACAGGAGGAGAAATTTGGTCTTGGAGCCCGTGTCTCTGTAAGCAGCATTCCTGGCTTTGCATATCAGATATGAAATTTGTTTGGAATGTTTGCTGTAAAAATACCTACGCATGAACTTACATCAGTGAGACAGCAACTCTGGCTTGACCTTTCTGCAGCTCCGATGTGGCAAGATCATTCTGTGTGGAAACAGTAACTTAGGGAATGACTTGCAACTGATGTTTTCACAGGCTTTGTTTCAGCGCAGGAACAATTCTTGGAACAAGCTGCCCTTAGAAATCAGTGTTTTCTTTCAAACTCCTTATTTTCTGCTCGGGAGTGACCCAGGGTAGGTTACCAGGCTTAATGTTGTAACAAAGCCATTTTGGAAATCCTCCCATTCTGTGTCAGTCCTGGGCTGAATACTAAAAGCAAACATGCTGGAGAACAGCAAAGGGCAGAGGTGGTTTTGATCCTTTTACAATTCAGCCCGTGTTTCTGTTTCAGACAGCGAAAAGACATTTTAATGGAACAGGAACCTCCTACTGTCAGCCCATGCCTGCAGCCCTGTGACTTAGAGTACTTTTTGAGGAGAACCACCGTGACCTGAGAGGTTTGAGGGGGCTGAGGGGCTGCTCTCCCTGAGAGGTTTGAGGGGCTGATCCCCTACGAGTTTTTTGGGGGTTGAGGAGCTGATTCCCTATGCAGTTTGAGGGCATTGAGGGGATGATCCTGTGAGGTTTTGGGAGGCTGAAGGGCTGTTCCCTGTGAGGATCGAGGGGATTGAGAGGCTGTTCCCTGTGTGGTTTGAGGGGGCTGAGGGCTGATCTCTGTGAGGATCGAGGGGATTCAGGGGCTGTTCCCTGTGTGGTTTGAAGGGGCTGAGGGCTGATCCCTGTGAGGATCGAGGGGGCTGAGGGCTGATCCGTGTGGGGATCGAGGGGCTTCAGGGGCTGTTCCCTGTGTGGTTTGAGGGCATTGAGGGGCTGACCCCTGTGAGGTTTTGGGGGGCTGATCCCTTGTGAGGAACGAGGAGATTGAGGGGTTATTCCCTGCGCACTTTGAGGATGCTGCGACTCCCACCCTCCCACAGGAGCGAGCCTGAGGCTGTTCCGCCGGGAGCCCCGCGGCACCGCAGCCTTTCTCCTCTCTCCGGTGCACGCTTACAGGAAGCACTGACATCTTTCGCAAGCGACGCGCCTGTGCCGGGGCAGAGCAAAATCCTTCCTCTACAGCCGAGGAGCGAACCCGGAGCCGAGGAGCGAACCCGGAGCCGAGGAGCGCCGACTGCCGCTGCCCCTCAGCCGCCCCTGAGGGGACGCGCGGCACCGCCGGACAGGGAGGGGGGGTGAGAGGAGGGAAGAGCGGGAGTCGGCGTCAGCCAATCAGAGCCCCGCCCCGGCCTCCTCGCGCCGCACGTGACGCGGCGCGCGCCCCACGTGACGCCGGGCGCGATGGAGGCTGCGGCGGCGGGGCGGGCGCGCGGCCGCCGCTCCTCCCCCCGCCCCTCCCGGGCGGCCCCGCCCCCCCTCCCCCGTCGGTAGCGGCTCCGCCGGGCGCCGCCGCGGCCATGGACTGAGCAGGCAGCCATGGGCGCCAAGGAGTCCCGCATCGGCTTCCTCGGCTACGACGAGGCCCTGCGGAGGGGTGAGGCGGCGGGGGACGGTTGGGTGGAGGTCGGCGGGGAGGGGTGTGGGGGCCCCGCGCTGCCCCCCGGCAGCGGGCGGTGAGGCGGCACCTCCATGACGGACCCCGCGCGGAGGCACTTGCGCCGTTCGGGTGCTCCTTCGCCGCTCCACCCCGTCGTTTATTTATTTATTTAATTGTCTATCTTATCTATTTATTTACCTATCTATCTCTCCTCCTTTACCGCGGCCCCGGCAGGGCCCGGTCCCCGGTGCCGTCCCTCGGCCCGGTCCCCGCCGCCGGTGCCGTCCCTCGGCCCGGCCTCCGGCTGTGCGCGGGCAGGGCTGGATGAACCGGGAAGCGCTGCCATCCCCGCGCTGTGACAGGGCTGTCACACAGCTCCCGGCTCTGCCGGCCCTGCCGCTCCTCGTGTTTACTTCCCCGTGCTCGGGGATCGCGCATCTGCAGCTCCGCATGGCGAGATGGATGTGGCGTGCGTGGCTGGGCTCGGTGTCGCTGCTTTAGCCCGGCTCAGGGTCCTCCCGGAGGATTTAAAGAGGAACCAGCCAAGGGAAAACATAAACAAGCTGAATGGTGAATGCTTGCAGCTGCAGGGCTCCAAGGCGACGGCAAGCTACACCCTGGAAGCTCCCTGGCTCTGGAACTGATAGCCAAGTCCAAGGACAAAGAGGGATGGGAATTGTCAGCAGTAAATGGTTTGCAGGGAGGACAGGTGTTGGTTTTGTTGCCCTATTGTGCGTTCACGTGATGCAGCGCAGGTAAAGCACCTCACCTGTTTGATATTTAAAGCCCTGATAAAATTCATAAGCGCAAGCCAATCTATGGCTGCCCTTTTTTTTCCTGCTTGCATGTGAGCGGCATGTCAGGAGTGATAAGGGAGAACTGGGAGGAACTACTGGGTGTTAACTGAAAAAGAAACAAATGGACCTGAAATGGGGTTTTTGTTATATATTTCTTAATTTTTTTTTTCTGGTGGAGCCTCTGAGGGATGCCATGTCGGATAGGAAATGGAGCAACGTAGTGTCAAGCAGGAGAAACAAGCGTATGATTCAAAGTCACTTGTTACAGATTTTAAACATAACAGCCCTGAAGGATTTTCACTGCTAGTGAAAGTATAGGAAGTCTTTGAAAGCTTTGGTGCACGTATTTTTAGAAGAGCTGGAGTTATAAATGAAGCTTGGTAGAGGTGTGAAGTTAAATATATCAGGAAGCATCTGAAATAAGCTGTTTGGTGGAGAATACAGTCATTTGGTCACGATGTATATTCCAAAGTTCCTAAATAAGAAAAAACGAGTGTTTTGAATTTTAAAGTTAGATTTAAACTCTTACAGTGTTTCAAAATCAAGGCAATTGATCTGGATGCTTCATAAGTAATAAGATTGATTTCTTCTTAATAAGAAATTATTTCTGCACAGTGAATATAATACTTTTCTTTGTTATTTTTTTTTGGATGTTTTTCTTCTCTATATGAGACCTTCAATACTGTTTTTCTGTAGGAGACCAGAAAGGTTGTTTTAGGCACTCTGTTATAAATTGATGTTTTGCTAAATAACTATATTATTTACTTAACCAGTGAATCACTGTATGTTTAAAACAGGCCAGTTATCAAAACATTATTTGTTAGACCATTCCTACTTCCACAGAACCTTGCTGGTACTTGTGGCATTTCTGTGGACACAAACAGAGATAATGGATAAACGTAAATGTTAAAAAAAGAAAGCCAAATATATTTATCTCCAATTAGATCCACCTTCTCTAACATTGTTTCCTGGTTCTTAAATGGCAAGAAAGTTTTCTATTAGGTGGTATTTGTACAGGTTTTTCTGCTGGGAATTCTTTATAAGTAATCAGTACTGGTTACCTGTACTTGTGGTAATCATTCAGAATGCTGTGATCGTATTTTTGAGTCACCACTTTGAATTTCAGTTGCTCAGAATATGGGGGGGAAATGCTGCTTTTGTCAGCTTCAGAAAATAAGGCTGACTTTTAAGCAGTTTCATTTATTGCAATCCCTTTTTGGTAGTAACCAAAGGTTGTGAAGGTGAGGGGAGTTGTGGTTAAAGGCTCACAATATAAATAACTGTAGCTAAAATGTAACTTCTGTTCAAGGAGATGAAAGTGCTAGAGCGGCCTGGTGCTGATGGCCTTTTCCACCCTTGAACAGGAGACAGTCCTGCTGTTTTATTTTCCTCTTTTTCCTTGGCACAGGCAGCTGACACTGCTGTGGTGACGTGGCCGTGTGGATGGGCACGATGAAGTTGTCTTGTGTCCACCAGTGCAGGTCACAGGAGTCTCATCAGCCTCCCTGAGATCTGTGTCTGCCTGTGCAGCCTGGCAGTGGAAAGCAAGGGATGCTATTTTAGACATCTATTTTTATGAATTTTGCCAATTGTGGTCATCTTATTTATAGTAGCCAGAGGCACAAAGTGGTGTTGCTGTGGAAAAGGTATGAGATGAGAAGTGAGCAGAGCTATTCCTGACCCCACAGACCTCCTTCTGAGGATGGATTCTTTGTGAGGAGATGAAATCCTTGGGCAGGTCATTAGAGGTGAAGTCAGAAGTGCTTTGTTCCAAACTGAGCATAAAATTGTCAGTTATTTTATCAAGCTGAATTTGTGGTGGCATGAACTGGTACTGTGGCCCTCGAGCTTGTTGCTTTCTTCTTAGACCTAAGCTCCAACAGCAATTTTCTGCTTATGACAGTGCTGCAAGTCAGCCAGTGTCCTGTTCTGGTGGATTTTCCAATATTTGTCCCTGATTTCCTACTCCTCTCCTACCACTGTGTCCATCAGGCTGTCTGGCTGCTCTGGCCTTGCCAAGGAGATGGTGCTCTAAAGCCTGCCTTATCTTTTACTTCTCCTGCTGCCAGTCTTGACACCCAGTTCCTCAAAGGAATGTCTTTGGGCCAGTAAAACTTTCTAAAAAGAATAACTTTTTATCACTATTGTTTTAGCTCCTGTATTAGCATAGCAGCTCCTGCACTGTTCTGTGTTCTATATAGAATATTTTAATAAGAATTCTAGGAAGGAGATTCCTGTGTGGTATTGGTGGCCAGTCTATTTCAGATCCCTATGGATTGTATTTCCTAGTGGCTGTTAATATGTTCTGCTTCAGTAACTTTGAGAGGATAATTGTAGTCTGAGCATAAATTTTTGTAGGTATTTGTGAATTATGAAACTGTAGAATCAGTAGTCAAAGTTTCTGTGAATGCTGCTTAGAGCAGGTGTAATTCAGGCCATTCCCAGCTAAATGATCTATGCTAAATATTGAGTCAGGGAGCCACTTAAAAGAAATGTTGGTGAATAATCATGGATCTGTCAAATTTGGGCCAGAGAGGAAGGGAGAGTTTTCCTTCTGCTCAAAGCAAGGTACAGTTTTTGTTTCATGAATGCAGGATGGAAGAAGGGGAGCTGCCACAACATCAGCATGGTCAGTGAGCATAGAATTTGGAGAAATGAGTGACTGCTGATAAATCCATTTAATTGTGTTTGGTCCTGTGCTCAGTGATCTCTGAGAAAAGAGCAAAATGAAAGCACAGAAATAGTGCTGTTGTTGGAGAATGCACATGCAGTCAAAATGCCAGCTAACAGCGAGGCAAAACTTGCAGGTGTATCAATTCCACAGGTTTTGCCTTTGGAGAGCTCATGGAATAATGGTGTTTAAGGCAGTTTTTTTTCCCCTGGTTGTGTCTCTGAGATGGCACCAACTGGAGAACACCAAAGTAACAAAAACCCTCTCTAACCCACAAGGAGCTCGGTGAGTGTGTGCCAGTAATGACTAATGTGAGATGGGCAGAGGATAAATCTTGCTAATGACCTTTTGTGTCTTGATTGAATTTGAAAAATAGCTACATTTGTTTTATTTAAATCAAGGCAAATATATCTGGTGTCTGATCATTAACATCCTAAAGCGTACAGATGTCATAAATCTGACAAGAGGATGATGGAAAACTTGTGCAAATATGTAATCATCTAGTTGAGGCTGTCGATCTCAGCGTGGTGACAAATCCATGGACTCAGCCCTTCAGCCCATGGAAAACTGCTTTTTAATACTCCAGATTATGAAATTAACTTTCTAAATCCCAGACATCTTTTTAGGAAAAACAGTCAGGGAACCATTTTAGTAGTTTATTCTCTTCTGTCTGTATTCCACGAAGGAGATTGTTCTGCTTTATTTTCTCTTATAGCTGAAAAACAGAGCTTGACCATGATAGGTGAAGGTTCTTTGGGATATGTTATTTTCTAAGGGTAAAAACCTGTGCTTTTCTGAGCCTTGAATTTCAGAGGCATGTGCTGAAAATGCCTACAAGTCTCTCAGCCTTTTTTTTAAGCTATCAGAATGAATAGAATCCACTGTGAAGACAGTCAAGATTCTGCAGCGAGGCTTGTTATGTCAGCCAGTATTTGATGGCTTCAGGGCTCTGTCATATGATGAAAGCAGGTATGAATGCAGAGCTTCACACTTCCTGTTTATAAAGCTGCAGAGCTGCAAGTGGCCGCTCAAATTCACAGAGTAGTAATTATTTCACAACTCTGGCATTCAGTTGTGGTGCTAGTTTTGGGAGGGCACCTCAGCAGTCTCTGCTGAACATGGATTTCAAAGGCAGGAGGGACTTGGGGAATTCTACTGAAACTTCCATGAACTGATGAGGAGATGCTCCTTAGAATCATGGGCTGGTTTGGGCTGGGAGGGACCTCAGAAATCATCTTGTTCCACCCCACTGCCATGGACACATTTCATGAGACCAGGTTGCTCCAACCAGGCCTTGGACACTTCTCTGAGCAACCTGTGCCAGGGCCTCACCACCCTCACAGGGAGGAATTTCTTCCTAATATCCAATCTAACCCACTCTCTGTCAGTGTGAAGCCATTCCCCTTCTCCTGGCACTCCAGGCCCTTGTGAAAAGTCTCTCCCTGTGTTTCCTGTCAGCTCCTTCAGGTACTGGGGGGCTGCAGTCAGGTCACCCCAAAGCTTCTCTTCTCCAGGCTGAACAGTCCCAA